ATGTAAGTTCCTTCTTTGACTTTACGCAATGAGATTTGATGGCATTGAGTATCAAGTTTGTTTTTGCTCTCGTTCCGAGGAACTTTGTATCAGGTTTTGTAATCAAGACTGAAGCGTAGTCTTGCAGATTCACATTCCCATCGCCGAGGAGCTCCACCCATTGCTGTGCTCATTCAATGTTCTCCGACTGCAATCACTGATCATCACTGCACATTAAGGTTGTAATGGGTAGAACCTACCGAAATTGCTCTTAAACCCGACTTTGCAAGAGCAATTTCTACAAACCCGGCCGAATGTTCTGTTTACACTATTTATCTGAAGATAGTAACCCCGCCGTGGGTCTCTGCAGCCGCGAAAGAAGTTATTAAAGGAGTAACTCATTCTCCTATCGCGAGTTGCCTTTGTCATTTTATACTGCGGTGTCTATTTTACCTAAGAGTTGTGCAGATTAAGAGTGACTTAGTTCCGCAGTTCAGAGTAAGTTCCCAATTAGAGCGAAATAATTTCCCTAAAACATGGCAGTAGCTTGACTTAAATTAAGCGGTTTCTTTTTTTGCTTTACCAATTTTTCTTTAGTTTTTGTTTTTTGCCATTACATTTTAGTTTATTAATTTATTTGAAAGTAAAAAAAACAAAACATTCTAGTTTATTCAACTTCATCTGATACACTCTGTGTTGGTCATCACATGCAAATGACTTGCACAATTTATTCAAATGTCAAAAAAAAAACACGGGCGCCTTAACGCATATTTTAGAAAATGCAAAAATATAAAGAGTAAACTTAACTGATATATATACATATATACGTTTTTAATATACATATTAAATACACATAAATACATTTGTACATATTTTTTTGTAACATAATGCTGCCTTTAAAGTGAAAGCGTAAATCTATAGCAGCAGCGTGCGCGTATATGAAATCTGTGCACTCTTTAAAGTACAAAAACAAAAACGAAATCATATGCAAATATTTACCATCATTAGGCAAAACAATGAAAAAGTACTTAAAATATTTCCTTGTTTTCATTGTGAAAGAGGGTGTCAATTTGTTTTGAAGTTGCCATTTCCACAAACCGTGGACGCGTACATACATATGTACATATATACGAGTACATGTTTATATGTAATACACAAACAGTGCGCTGCAAGGAAGTTGGTACTCTTGTTTTACTTCCTATCAAACTTTGATGTCGCTTCCTATTTACATAAGTACATATATTTGTACACCCACGACTTGTCTGCTGGCAGACAAACTTCCAACTTGACCATAAACAAATGGCAACGGACCAAAACCTCGAAGCAGATTTGTGTTGTGTGTTTAAATGTAAAATGTATGTGTGTGTTGTTGGTGTTCGGAATTAAAGTTTACAGGGAAGTAAAAAAAATATATAAACTGCACGAAGTAAAATGCTTGAATTGTGCTGTTCCAGTTAAAGGCAGCTGAAGCGATACACTTCCCGAAGTATCAGGACCACTTTTTGGGGCGTTATTGTCGCGATATTAGCATTGAATTTACGACAAAAGAAATTCTCCATCGATCTTATAATCAGTTCTAAACTTGCTCAGAAGCAAGTTCACTTCCTATTGACTGCAAGCAGACCAATTAAACATCTTAGAGTGCACCAAAGCTGCATTGAAGGATTGTTTGCTCAAATAATAGTCAGGATTAACGGTGAATCAATTATTGTTCTGTAAAACGGTGATATGAAAAATTAGTTTTAGTGTTTATCTTCGATACTTTTGAAATTAGCAGAGAAATAACAATGAAAATAACTAAAATATTTTTTTGACAAAAAAATGTGAAATGTGAAAAGTGAGTTGAAAGAAAAGTAAAATCAAAGAAAAAGTGAATTTTTTTCATAATTAAAATAAATTATTGTTGCGAAAATGCGAGGCGAATGTCAGTTGAAAGAGAGAAGCCGATAACTTGTACATTCTAGAACGATAAAACGAGAACCTTCGATAGCGAACAACTCGATTATTCTACACTTTCGTCTACAAGCAGCCGACTGCTATATAAGGGCGACACTCAGCTGCCAAGAAGTTAGTTACAAAGTAAACTCGTTGGCGACAACATAGAGTATAGCAGAATAAACTATTTTAGTCGTTAAGTAAACGCGTTGGAGATTACATTTAAGTAAAGTAAATTGTGAAAGCTTATGCAAGTGATTGTAACTAGTAAAGTGCATTGTAATTGAATTGTGAATTACTGTGGAAATTAAGGACATTAGATAGATTCTTTATAACGAAAGAAATTATCACCGAAAATTTTTTTTATATTAGTTTTCTGTTATTGATTTCGTCCGGAAATAAACATTGAAAGAGCACAATACAGCATGACCCATATAAACTAAAAAAAAACTTTTTCATTCTTGACGCTTCTATGATTTTTTTTTTAATTTTTTCACAGTGTCCTGCGCAAATAATCACAATAATCTGTTAGTTATGGAAGAAAATAAAAAGCTGGAAAACTTTTCGCACGCAACATGCTACTGCTCCAACGCCCCACCCAAGGATGAGTTTAATATAGCCAGAAGTTTTGCAAATATATATTTATATATATATATATTTATATATATGTTTTATGCTTTTTCACTCTCTACACTTGCAGCTAGAAGGAAATATTTAGTATTTTAAATAGAGCTACATTTAAATGTGTATTTTATACAAAAATGTTACTGCTGCTGTGTTGTGTCAGATATTTTCCCCTGATCTCCTGTAGTGATAATAAATCTTTGTTGAATAGTTTGGAAATATAAAATAGCAGAAAAATGCAAAGTTTCCATTTACAAGTTGCGCACACTGCGAGGTGGGCAAGTGTGTGGTGGCTCTCAGTTTGTTTGTTTGGTAGTTTTGTTTAATTGGAAAATATTAAGTTTATTCATTTTTACCTGCATTTTTCACAAAATGAAATAAAATAAATAATAAAATACAAAACCTTTTCAACAAGAATTTAAATAATTTCACCTAAGCTTAAATAAACTTTTCATAATTTTCATAACGAATTCCAGTGCAAAAGTAAATGTGAATAGTCCAACTGATGTTTGTGCGTAGGTAAGATAAAGAATTCTAGTGAATGCCACAAGCTCATAAATACCATTCAAATTTGTGCATTATACGAGGTGTAGGTGAGTATAAAGAGCTTGAGAAGCCGGCCAACAGTGATAATGCTCGAAAATTCTTTGGAAACTCGCGGTGACTTCTAGAAGGTTTCAAGATAGCAGCGTGCATATCTACAATAGAACTCAAAGCGTTGATCTAGCGACAGATGCCCAGAGTATACTAAGTTTATGGAGAGAACACTCCTAAAGGCCTCAGAAGATGGCGAACTCGATCCCTTAACAGACGTTTTATTACCCGACTATGAAGAGGTACAAATACCGATGGCTTGCCTGGAGATCAACAAAGCCGCGGACCCAATTTTACCGGCTGAGCTATTCAGGTACATACAAAAAAGGGAACCCTACAGTCTGCGCAAACTAGCATGGGATAAGTCTCCTCAGTAAGTGTCGCATACTGAATTTGATCTCCCAAAAAACTTATACAGCGATGTACACTAAGGCTTAGCAATATTAAAGGCTCCATTAGAAAGGATCTCTCCAAGCCGTTCAATACCAGATAAAATGATTCCCTATCATTAAGCTTCTTTAATTTATTGCTGTAGCAAACAATACGAACTGCAGAGCTAAAAAAAGAAGAAAAAGCCTGCTATAAAAGTATACAGCTACTGGTGCACTTTGACCTCAATAAACGCGCGGTGAGTTCCGTCTTTTCCAGACTTGATACAGACGCGGACAAGACGAATTTGCGACTCGGCTCACACGTCATGGTTGACAGCCATAACTTTGAAGTCGTTGATAACTTCATCTATTTGTATTGTATTAACAGAATCACAAGGTCAGCTTTGATATCCAACGCAAAATTACTTTAACCAACAGATGCTAGTTTAGCCTGAGTAGACACTTGAAAAGTAAAGTCTTCTCTCAACGAACGAATTCGAAACTCTACAACTAGCTCATCGTTCCCATCCCAACGCGGTGGAACAAAATGACAAGTTCTGATAAAACAGCGTTTGTTGTTTTTGAGAGAGGTTCTCAGTAAGATTTATGGCCTTCTACGCTTTTCAAACGGTAAATTCCACAGCCGGTGGAACGATGAACTATACGGTACATGCGGCAGCGCATCAAGAGATAGCGGCTGCATCGGCTAGGTCATGTGGTCCGGTTGGATAAGAATACTCCAGATTTGAAAGTTTTCGATGCAGTACCTGTCGGTGGAAGTAAAGGTAGAGGCAGACTTTCACTCAGTTGGAAAGACCAGACACCAAACAGCCAAAGAGAGCAACGAATGGTGTCCGGTTGTTAACTCGGCTACAATTGCTTAAGTGTCGGTGTCTACGGCAGTAAAGAAGAAGAGGCTATAGAGAGCGCTGGCAGTATACGCTCATTCTTGTTTTATTTTAATAACTGCTAAAACGATATTCGTCCAACTCCAATCAGCTTGAAGTGGGTCTTAAAATTTCTCCGAGAAATAGAGGAACCTACAATTTCTACTAAGTCCCCGCCTATCGGCTAAATGAGTTTTATGAAAAGAAACTTTTTTTTTTTCTATAACTCTAGTTGATAAGTCGGTCAAGTTTTAGGCACAATACCCACTGCATAGTCGCATGCACTGCTAACCATTTGCCTTGTGGGTCCTTGGTTCCACACATATTGCGTTAAAAGTCCTCCTAGTAGCTTTATTGGCCTGGTCGTTGCTTTGAATGGCTTAAGAGGCTTGAGCTCATAGTCATAAGCGTTTGTTAAAATTTATTTTAATTTGAAAATTCTCAAATTTGAAACCAATTTCAGTTATAGACAAATAAAAACCACATTTATGCTAGATTTATACACAACAGGGTGGCTCTTGGCAAAAATTAACAGTTTCCTCTAAAGTTTACAAATATTTCAGCTAGTTCACCCTGTGCTGATTAACATTTGCAACTTGTTCCCTTTCTTGTTTGTTTGTAAGTTAAAAATATTCGAAATTTTAAATCAATTTGTAGATATTAACGCAATAAATTAGAAAAGTGTTGTTAAATTAACTATTTACATGGAAGAGAAAGTCAACTTAAAAGAGGCAACAACAGCGCAAATATTCTATCATGAAAGCTAATTACCAAAGGGCCGTTCGTTCTACGCAGGCCAGCGCTACTCGCCGGCGTGCTCCAACTGTAAGAAAATAGAAAATTTTAAAATTTCAAATTTTTACTTAAATTAATATTTTCATGCTTGGCTTCATTGCAGGTGGAAAATATTATTTCGTGCAAAGTTATTTTTGCTACAACCATATAAGCTCTCGCAAAAATATGTATGTGTGTGTGCGTGTGCATGCCAGCTTGTAAAAAAATATGCCAAAACATAAGAAATCTTATCAAGCAACTCAAGTGCAAAAATGTAATATTTCCAACGATAGCATGCCGCACACCCACACACACGCACACACAAATATAGCATGTTGAATACAAATACGTAGTAACCTGGCCACGTCCTTCAACTCATTTTTTTTCTTCGTCAACTTTTTTCACACTACAAATTCACACATACACGTACACACAAACACATTATCACTTTAGGTTTCTCTCCTGTGGTACTAAATTCTTCCATCTCAGTTACTTCACCTTGGCTGCCAAGCCAACCGAATATTTTCTATTAAAAAAATAGAAGCAAAAACAAAGCCAAATCTGAGTAAAAGAAGCTGCAGGAATCTCCAGTCAACATGTGTCAAAGCAAGCAAGCGCTCATACATACATGCATACATATGTATATATCACGTTGCGGTAGTTAAAACGTCTGGACCTGTCACAAATTGTGTCACACAAATAAATATTTATTGGTATATACATAAAAATATACGTATGAGAGAGATAAATCATTGATATATAATTTCCTTCCTCACTTCTCACCCCAAAGAATCTTTAACCACATTTTGTTTGCCTCCCTTGTTGTGTGTGTGTGTCTGTAGGATTTCAATTTGAAATTGAAAGGTGTTTTTCATTTGATTAACTCAAGAAACGTACATGTACATATATACATACATACATACATATACTATGTACACACACACGTTCGTGTTAGTTGCCTTCTATTGTGTTTTTTTTTTTTTGTACATTTTTTGACTTTCTGGTCACTGATTCGCCAAATGTTTGAAGGCGTGTAGAACGTACAAATTGTTTGGATTGGAAAAGGTGGAATAAATTTTGAAATGACAATCCGCACACAAAATTAAGTTAGAACCCAGTAGAAAATAGTAACTGAATATCAAACTGATTTGTATTTTACATTACTTGTGCAATGGACTAGTTTAAAGGTTAGTTCATTGTTGATTGGCTTTAGTTTCAATATTGCTTTGAGAATATTTTGGCATTTTTTTAACAGGCTAGTTCTAATCTTATAAATTTTATAGTTCAGCAAATCAAGAAGCAGCGGCTACGCTGGCTAGGTCATGTGGTACGCATGGATACGAATACTCCAGCTTTGAAAGTTCCCCACCGGTGAATGAAGTGGAAGGGGAAGACTTTCACACCGTTTTAAAGACCAGGTAGAGAAGGACCTGGCTGTACTTGGTATTTCCAATTTGGCGTCAAACAGCAAAAAGTAAGAGCGAATAGCGCAATGTTGTTAGCTCGGCTATAATCACGTAAGCGGTGTCTACGCCAGCAAAGTAAAAAAGTGAGTAAGTTCGTATCTAGTTTAAGTACCATCCATAAAAAATCTAGGAACAGTTGAAACTTTTCTGACATTCCGATGACGAGGCTCAGTCAGACAAAGAAGCCACCTCTAGAGTACTCTTGGGATCTCTATAATTTGTATATATTTATTTATATTTTAGGCTGAAGCGACTTTTGCCGTGCCTTCTTCTCCAATTTGTAGTCGGCGTCATGATCACTTTCCGAAAAAATGGAGGGATCTGTAGTTTAAAGTTGCCCCCGAACGAATGATGGTTTTTTATGGGTAAATTTTATTTCATGTCAAGCATACAATCGGAGGGGTTAGTGTTCCTTGACGAAGGACCATCGTATATGAATTTTTTTCTCTATATAGTTGGATTTTGATATGAATATAGTTTGAGCATAAAACACTCCGCATGGTAGCACGCATTAATTGAGCGCTTATGGAGGGAACACTTGAGTGGCAGTGAAAGTAGAATATCCGAAGGTGGTGAATATGAATTCCCAACTGACTACGGTTTGTCGGAGCAATTCAGAAGTGGAATCGAAGAACTGCTAATGCCTATACAAAATTTGGTAAGATGAATTTTATGTGTTCCTTAAATGAAAGATCTTCCTGCATTACTCACTGTCGGAACTGCTAAGCATTTTTAGTCCCCCAGTACCTCTAAGCTAATCAAAGCCAGTTTTTGCACTACATTGTCGTCTTAAAATGGTTTCCAGGGATGAATATAAGTTTCGGGCAATCCCTCACAACTTTCTAGATTAACAACATCTCCCATAAATGTGAATTATTCAATAATATGACTTCTTTACTCTAGCTTACGTTCTCTACTTCACCTTAATCTTCAAAATAATTAAACACTCTACTAAGCATCAATCTTCCAAACAAAAATCATTATTATCAGACTCCCAAACTCAGCACCTCACCTCATATTTAGTTAGTATTTGCTCTGTAGTCATACTTACTAAGCCAAGCAGCTACTTATATCAGCAAAAAGGGTGATCTTGTGTAAACTCGAGAAATCTCACATTACGCTCAACTTTGACTAATTGAAATTCTTTATTTAGCGAAGAAAGCAACTTACAGACGACGGGTTGGGCATATACGAGTAAGCACTGAAGTTGCTACGATGGGAGAACCAATTATAGCGAGAATACTACCTCGCTATCCTTGGCTGCCGCGGTAGTCGAGTGGTTAGCATTGCGTACTGCCATATCCTTGGCAGGGAATTTCAACCCCTTCGAGTGTATTTCTGACGTGAAAACCAAGGCTCTTCATAAAAAACCATCAGCCATCATTCGGAGGCGGTTTATTATAAACTGTAGACCTCTCCATTTGTTGGAAAAACATCAAGATGCAAAACCACAAGTTGGACGAGAAATTCTGCAGAAAATCGAGATTGGATTCAGAATTTATTGCTCGTGCTTGGATTTTCTCAGTAGCTTATGGTACTTTGGGGAACTAAATCCATTCCGCTGTAAGCGCTGACAACTGCAATTATTTACACCAATTGAGTGAGGAGGAAAACGAGGATATCTAAGGCAGCTCGGAGAAATTATTGGAAAATGTAGGAGTAGCAGTTTTCTAAGAAATATGAGACTAACGTTGAAGACAGCTCTCTCAACAAGCAAAGGTTTGGAACAATGTTGCTCTCAAAGTAAAATGGTATAGCGGTCAGATGTCTACTTGGCACCAGTTACAGTGCCTGCAGCATTCTGTTGGTAAATATTGTAGAGCTTTTGTTGTTGTTCTTGACATGACAATACAAATCCAGATTATTGATGCATAAAGAACTGACCAGACCAGTCTGCCATAGGAATTTTATTTGTATTTTAGTCACCGCTTATAACATTTAAGCCTTCCCGCATGTAAATTCTTGTGCCCCCAACCCACACATACCAAATATTCAACCTTATTGAATTATGACCACTAAAGACTACTTACGGCAACAGCAACCAGCACCAGCACCAGTCGCGAGCTGAGCACACTTCCCACGCCAGCATTGTTTGTTACCCGCCTTTCGCTTCAGAACTCTTTCAGCCTTCTCTGCGCACAAAAAAGCATCCTTGAACTCTTCATTCAATCTTTCACGGATTTTGTGTCACATTTTATGACAAAAATTTCAATTTGCCAACTCATTCACGAATATTTAACTAGCACTTAACCTTCACGCCAAACTAACTATGCGCGGCAAGCTCAACCAATACTAATAGGCAGGTGGCTGATATACAAATTTAATGCACGAACGCGCGGTGACTCTTGGAAATGATACGCAACAAACTGACACTAAAGAGTTTTTGCATAATCGCAAAACTATTTCAACGAGTGACGCGTTTCAAATAGCCGCATTAGCGCCTCATACAAATTCTCAACTCACACCCACCCGCGCACATACACACATATACACACACCACACACCACACCGGAGCGTAAAGTGAAATGACAAAATTACAAAGTAGATCTTAATTTCAGCCGCAAGGAATACCAAACGGAACAAATTTTATATTCAGTATAGTGAAAGAGAGTGGAAGAGGGTGACAAAGAGAGAGAATATTAAACAGAAAGCTGCCGCAGTGAAGCTCAAGGCAATCATTAATGTTATGAAGGCGCACCGCGCCGGGGGTAGTGATGAGGGCTGAGCGAAAGCGTTTTTTGCCATCAGCAACATTTTAATGCTTTTATCGTCATTTCCGCCTGTAATCGGTTGAATTGTTGTGTCGTTGTCATTCTACTTGCTGGTTGTTATTGTTGCTGACGTGCTTTACGTCGTCAGCACTATAGACGAGCGTACGCGTAAAAGTAACGTCGCATTATGTTGAATATTATCCCTGCAGCAGCAAAAACATGAGCAATGGCAGTCGTAACACCGACCGACAATGATGCGCTAAATGAGCAGCGCCATGCTGTGGTGGAGGCGTTTATCGACTGTCAGGCAACTTGACTGATTGACTACGCTATGCGGAAGAATGCTTTATTGTTACTTTAGTGTCGGGTTCGAACGTGGGCAGCATGAGTGGCAATTTCGCGTTAGCTTTGGTAAGTGAGAACGGGATATAGTGAGCTGCCAAGAGCTCGTGGAGGCAAGGACTTGATACCTAACCGCTGTTCGAGTGTTGCGGTTTTTTATTATGGTAAACTTAACTTGGCTAGTCTTGCAATAACCTCAAGTCCTGTGAAGCTTTTGGTGGCGGCACAGAAAGAGAACAATTTGATGGAGCTACTCCGATATATTCGCTTCTCGAAAGCCATGATTTGAGTTGATTTTGCGTTGGAAACGTGCCGCTGCCGTGCTGATTAATATCCACAGTAACCACAACTGCCACCATTTTCATCAGTTGAACGAAAGGGTACCGGCTCGAGTGTAAAATGATAAAATTCCATCTGTTCATCAGCCTGCGCTGCTTTACTCTGCACAAAACCACATTTACCAATAAAATATGGTGTCGCAACAGAGTCCTTAAGTTGCTAGCTGGGGGGAAATAACTTGTGGAGGACCGAATTCCGGCAAGAGTCTAAGAAAAGAGTTAAAACCCTCTCAGAACACCAGATTAAAGTCCAGACGCCTACATACCATCTACATCGCGAGTATTCCCGGTTAAGAGCATAATATCATGCTGTGTCTGTGAAGATATTGCTACATAATTACCTCTTACGGAGTTGCTCAGCGCCGAACTGTGCCCAGCTCTTCTGGTAAATGGTCTCATTGGAATGCAGCTATCATTTATGAATTAAAATGGAAAATGAGCCTCCCATTAGATGTTCTCGATGACTTAGACTAACTAGCGTGTCTGACAAACCGCTACAACAACAACAAAAATATCGGATCCAGTTACTTCTAAAGCCTAGATACTGCAACGGAGTCAACTGCCACATATACAGACTTGATCCCGGCGTACCCAAGTTTGTCCAGCAAGAACGGGAATCTGCACTCAAATTAAGAACCTCTATATATGTCTCATGTCTCTAACTCTTTCCGTTTGGCCCGAAACACTCCAATTATATAATTATTGAAATATCCCATTGCTGTTTCAAGCTATTGTTCGCTTCCCTGCTCCAAAACTATTAGAAAGTCATAATTAGAGCTATTTGTAATCAAAAATATTTTATATAAAATATATTAAAATCATTTCACACTTACGTATACTTACGTCACGTTACGCCTGACGTGAAAGAGTTTTCGCCATCGTATCTATTCTCTTTTGTTCCGTTCCATTGCATTCCTCAAATTTCATTGAGTTACAAAACAGATGACATCAGTCTGATTTGACATTTCTATCAAAATATCGTTGTTGTTGTGACTCGCGTTTGTTATTTCATTTGATGTGAAAAAATTTACGCTAAGCGTTCAAACTGTTTTATAAACAACTAAATAAATTAAAAACGTATTTTTTACGCATAAAACGCAGCATTGCCTACAATAATGGCGGATCCCAAATTCGAAAACTTACCGGGAATTGTAAGTATACGCAAAGCAAAACGCAGACTACAACCTAAATTGGAAATTCAATAATCCTGACTCACCGCACAGTGTACCGCACCTAAAACGCTTTTGTTTTTCAATTTTTTCTTACACCCAATAGGCTTATGACCAACCCGATGTTTACGAAACACCGGACAATGCTGAATCTGTTACATCTGATTACTATGAAGAGGAGCCAGAGAATGAGGCTATCGAACGCTTACACATCTCAACGCGCGATTCATATAATCGCTTCCGTGGCGCAACACTCGATGGCAGCGTCGATTTCTCCGATCGCATTGGCCGGCGTTTATGCAAAGGCTATGATGCGCGTTCGGGAGAATTCGAGTTGGTGGGTGTAGGTGAAAAAGAAACACCTGTGCAAAAGTGTCGGCGACTGCAATGCGAAATGAATGAGTTGATGGATGAAGTGGCAGCATTGCAGGTAGATCGTAAGATAGTGCAAGAGGAGAAAGAATCATATGATGCTGTTGCAACAGTCATAGCAACAGCTAAGAAAGTGTTGGACTCTTTGCGTTTAGAGCAAGTTTTGGGTAAAGAGCAAGTGCCAACGGCAGCTGATAAGGAGGTGAAGCAATTGATTGGTGAGTGCATAAATATTACTTGCTTAATTAAACTATATTTTTAATTGATATTTATTAGGTCAAGTAGAGGAATTCAAAAAATCTGGGCTGCTCACTGCCATACCTACACCAGGCACTGATTTGGCAGCTTCGGCACGCATAGCCAAGCTAGAGCATCGCTTGCATCAATTGGAACAAGCCATTGGTGCACAACCGGAAAAACTCAGTCGTCTCACAGCGCTGACGAACACCAACAATGTTTTGGAAGCAGTGCATCAATTGAGCACAAAAACAGCGCTACTACAAACCGATAAGCTGGATGTCATCGAAACACGACTCAATACACTTACAGGCAAAATGGATGCTATTGCTGAAAAATCAAGCGGTTCCGCTGATGATGCGAAACGTGACCAGAAGGTGGTGGAGCTTTATGAAATCGCCAAACGTACAGAACCTGTGGCGGAAATATTGCCTGATATCATAGAACGCATGCAAGCGCTAGAGGCACTACACAAATATGGTAAGTTGAGTAGAATATGAAAAGGTTTAAAGTACTTTTAATCTCCATCTCTTTTTTTTTAATTCCTCGCAGCTATGAACTTTGCTAAAATAATCGCCGAAATTGAGGAGAAACAAACCACAATCACCACAAGCTTGGTAAGTAACAAGGAGCTGCTGCATTCAGTACAGGAAACATTCGCACAAAATCTGGAAACGATCAATAAGGAGGTCGCCAAGGTAGAGGAGCGTGTGCAGGCCATAACGGGCAAGAAATGAAGCAGACCAAGCGGCGCATGCGCAGTGTATCCACTAAAGCAACTGATTTATATATAAACGAAAAATAAGAAATAATTAAATTATTTAATTTGCTTCAATATTCTTAACGCTGCAAGTATTGTAATTGTCATTTAAGTTAAAAATTAACTGTGAACTAATTTTTTATTGATTTTAAAACAGCGCTCAGCTGGCAAGAAAAACGTTTATATGTCAATAAATGATATTGTGCTTTGAAAAATGATACTTTTTGTGACCAAATTGTGGGAATATCGATGTACAACAAGTTTTTTGGCTTATTGGTGTTGCTTCTGTGCGGAAATATGAAACACTAAAAGTGAGGTTAAGTTTACTTTCATTGAATACTGGGTCGTAATTAAGCCAGTTTCATAGCGGAAGCGGCAAGGAACAGAAAATATTATAATAACTCACTCTTTTGCAATTTTAATTAAAAGATCCCTTTAATTATTTTACAATTTTTATTTAAAGCCTTTTTATTTATATTATTCATAATATAATCATAATCATAATAGTAATAATAATCATAATATAATTCAATTATAATAATAATAATGAGTTATAATAGTGATACGCTCTCTCGTCGTATATAATTTCTTGAGATAGTACACACATACATAATTATGTAGATTTGAGTAAATTTCATATGTTTTTCTGCACTTTCATTTTCAATTTCATTACATTTTTTTTCTCATATAATTTTTACCATATTTATTCTTTCTTCAACTTTCTTTTGCCTGCTTTTTTGTGTACATATTTTCCTTTTAAGTTTTGATGCTGGTACGTCTTTATATATGTATGTATCTAATATTTCTTATTTATTTAGCTTAATTTTTTATTTTTTTTTTTAATTTCTTTTTTTTTGCATTTTTTGTATGCTTTAACTATATATTTACTTTTTTTTGCCTTTCTTATATATGTAGATATTTTGTGATGTATATAATATGTAATGTGTAGTATGTATGTATGAATGTAAGGAATTACGTTTTTATATGCTTTATGTATGTACGACTGTATGTGTGCATGTTAAAATGTTTTAATGTAAATGTTTGTGAGTTTTCGCTATATAAGTATGTATGTATGTATGTATATTGGGAATGTTTAGCTGTTTATATTTGCGTATAACTATTTTGTTTTTAAACATACTTTTTTGTGTTCTCTTTTTTCTTGTAACTTCGCTCTAAATGCCTGTTAAATTGCCCACAATACTTTTTCACTTTTTTGTTTTATATTTTTATCTATTTTCCTTCTATTTTGTTATTTTGTTCAGAGTATAAGACATTTATTTAGATAACTTATTGTTGTTGCCTTTTCCTTTTTTTTTTTCTTTTGTGTTTGGTTATATATAACTGTTTTCACAGTGTTTATATAAAGGTTTCGAAAAGATTTTTTTTCAACTAAATTTAATTTTATTTTTTATATTATTTATTATAATTTATTTTATTATTAGTTTATTTTATTTATTATTATTTTATATTATTTATTATTAGTTTATATTTATTATTTTTTATTTCTCATTTAATTCTTGTTTTTTTTTATATATATTTTTTCTTTATTTATTTTTATTTTTTACAATTTTAATTTAATTTAATATTTTTTTTATGATTTTTACTTTACTTTATTTGTTTTAAATAAATTTATTTACTATTTTTTTCCATTTCAATATTATTTTTTATTTAGTTCTGTTTTTTGTTTTTAATCCATTGTGTCTTTTTTTAAGATTTTTTATTATTAATAATTTAAATTCGTTAGAAAAAAAACTGAATTTTCGTAATTTAAAAAAAAAAAATTAAATTATTAGGAGCATATGAAATTAGCAAACTGAGCGCATTCACCCAAACATATGTATATCATATATCGTTTTTAGAAAAGCTTTGCCTTCAAGCCAGCTACTTTTGATCTTTATAAAAAAATTTCCTTAATAAAAAAAAAAAAATTGATTATCATCCAAAAATTTATCTTTGCGTTTAACGTTCATTCTCTCGTTGAGAATAACGAAAGCGCTTTTGTGACAGCTTACTGTTAAGTCATAAGCTTTCATAATCTACTTGTCAATCACACTGTATTATTAAGCTCATTCGTTTCGAAAGCTTTTTTATTGTATGTTACACTCTTTACTTTCACCTAAAAGTGTGCGCTTAAAAGTTTTCATAAAAACTAAGTAGTTCAACAATTATTTAGTGAAAGCTTTGAGTAGTGAGCTTTGAAAGTTGTAATAAATATATTTAAAAAAAATATGCGCGGGGAAAAAGTCATGCATATGTGACAAAATATAATTTATTTTAATTTGAAAAATTTATTTTCAAGTCCTAAAAACAATTAATGAAAGCTTGAAGGGTACACATATTTCTTGTAAATAATTTTGTAAAGGTCCAAAGCTACTTTGGAATCACAAAGCCACGTCTACACATTTATTTTAAACCAAAAATATTATCGAAGCATAGTTTTCAGGCTGCCTTTTGAAATCCACCCAATGCAATATCAAATTCTCAGCAGTTATGCCACCAAAGAGAGAAAAGCTCTTTCAGAATAAATTTTCCGAAAATTTCAACCCCATTTGAAAATGCATTGCATTGAATCCTCAAAAATCTCATAGAGCAGCCTGTAAGCTTTGAGAGCTTCAAGTTTTCCATGAAAGTCTCCACCTAAGTTCGTGTAATTTTTAGAATTCAACAAACGCAACTCTTGCAATTTCAAAACCCGCATGCTTTGTCTACTAAGTATTTAACCTTTAATGTTTTGATGGTGTTCTACAAACATGTAAGCTTCGAAAGCTTGCAAAAATGTATTATTTTTATTTTACATCAAAATCATCGCCTCAGCATGTTTCTATAATTTTGCCAGTTGCGGCAGGCGAAATTTCAAGACTTTTTTACGTTAGCAATAAAGCTTTTAAGCTTAGTTTGTCGTCACGTGCTGTACGAATGTGAACTTTTATAATGAGCTTTCAAGTAAAATTCAACAAAAGCTTGTTATGCTTTTATTTTATGAGCTTATTCAACTTTTATTGCATTTCCTGTTTTTATTAATCATTTTTAATTTATTTATTTTTTTTTTAGGAAATTTTGCGCTTTATACATACACATTTATACACATAGAGATTATATGATACCAGAAAATTGTTTATAGGTTTTTGCGTAAAATTATTTTAATTATTTATTTACTGAATTTTTATTGGTTTAATTTATTTATTTAATTTTTTTTGAGGGTTTCGTTTACAATGCTTAAAATGTTTTTTGTCTCTGTTTTCCGAGATACTTTTTCATAGATATTTCTCTCATACTTCGGTTGCTACGTAGTGTTGTGTAGTGAGTTTTTTGTAATACATACATACATATGATTTTTGTTTACATATTTAATCTGGTCTATAAACTAATTTTTGGTTTATATTATATTATTGTATGCATAATTATTTATTAAAGGAAATTATTTTAGATATTTTTAAATAATATTTTTTCAAAGTATTTATTATTATTATTAATTATTTGTTTTAATTTAAGTAGTGTAATTTTCATTTTTTATTTTCATTCTTAAATAATTTTTGCTTACACTTAGAATTTTTTTTTTTTAAATACATATTTTTTAATTCAAAATTTTCAAGACTAATAATTTATAATTATTTTTCAACTAATACTTTGCGAAATTAATAATTTTTTATTCTTTATTTAAATAATATTTTTCAAAAATTAAAAAATTTTAAATCTTTATTTAAATAATATTTTTCAAAAATTAAACATTTTTAATTCTTTATTTAAATAATATTTTTTAAAAATTAATTATTTTAATTCTTTATTTAAATAATATTTTTTAAAAATTAGTAATTTTTAATTCTTTATTTAAATAATATTTTTCAAAACTTAATCATTTTTAATTCTTTATTTAAATAATATTTTTCAAAAATTAGTAATTTTTAATTCTTTATTTGATTGATATCTTGAAAAATATACAACATTTACTTCATCATTTAAATAATATGTATTTTTTAAATATTTAAATAATAACATAATTACTTCTATTATTTATAATTTCATTTTTTTTATTACATTTATTCTTTTTAATAAATAATGTTTGCGTTTTTATAGTTTTTATTGATTTTTCTCAATTTTTTTATTTCATATATGATTTTTTTTTTTATATGCTACTATTTTTTGTTTTTTTTTTATTTTTTATAAGTATTTTTTATATATATATTTTTTTTTACGCTTTAATAAATATTTTTTATTTATTTTTTGCTTTAATAATTATTTTCTCTTTTCGATTTTCTGTGGAATCCATATTAGTGCATTTGTGTCTCTTAAATTTCTTTTTTGCTCGCTTAAAACGCCATTATAATTACATATACATACATTTAAATTTAATATTTTTTTTTTTTTGATTTTTTTTTATTCAATTAAATTTTTTTTTTAAATACATCAAAAAATTTTTGTTTTTTTTTTATACATTAGAGAAAATTTTTAATACAATAATAAATGTTTGAAAAAAATAAAAATTTTAATTTTAACAATTATTATCAAAATTAAATTGTGTCCTCCCAGAGCAGCGCTATGAATCAGTTCAAATCGAAAATAAATTTTTTTTTTGAAATTTTCTAGAAAATCTCAGTAAAAGTTTGGTGCTCTGAGCACAAAGTCTTCTTATAGACAACAAAGCAAACGGATTTCCATGTTTATAGGTCAGGTAAGACTGCTTAATTCTTTATGAACTTCCACATCAATATACGATGACACGTTTTTGAAGTTTTAGAAATATACGTTAGAAATAAATAATAAAAATAAAAAAATATTTATAAATAAAAACTATTTCAAAAATAAGAATAAGATACATTAAACTTATTATACTCGCTCCAACTTGTGTGCTTTCTTATGTTTTTCTTCACTTACTTTATCAATTAAACTAGCGTAATTTCAACTACGTACACACACATTTATATAGAAATAGCTCAACTTTATTTATTTAATTTCTTTGCTCATTACAATACATTTTTTTTTTGCTTTCTTGTCTACTTTGCCGTAAATTTAAGAATCTTAATTTATGACAAACGAAAAAAAATATAATAATAAAAAATAAAATACACGTTTTTACAAAATACTTTATTAAATTATTATTATTTTTTTATTTAAAATTTATTTTATAAATTCACAGTTTTGCAAAAAATAAACTATTTACACTACATACGAGAATAATTGCACATATGTACATATATTAGAAAAAAATATTTATATATATTATAAATAATATTTTTATATTACAAATAATATTAAATTAAATATTTATTTTTTTTTATTTGCCTACATAAAAAATTTAAAAAAAATATTTTTTGAAAAAATAATAATTTATCAAAAAAAAAAAACTATTTATAAAAAATTAATAATTAAAAGAAAATAAAATAACAGCTACATACATATATTTAATCAATTAATTTGTTCATGTTGCTTAGTGATTCTTATACTTTTTTTTGATACATAATTTTTTTTCTGATTACAGTGAAGCGTATTTAATTTTTTTTTTTTGCAATTTTTGCCTTAAGCTTATATAATATATATTTTGTGTGTTTCTTTTGTTTTAAGTTTTTTATTTTTATTTTTTGCTTTTGCTTTTGCACACAATTAGAATGAATGAGTAAATATTTGCATGCTTTATTATTTGCTTCTGTTCTTTTTTTTCTTAATTAATACAATATTCTTTTTTTTTTTGTATGTGTATATGTATGCATATATGCTATATTTCTTGTTTGCATTAACGAAAATATGAAATTTCACTACAAAGAAAAGCCAATTTTACATAAAAAAATACATACAAGTTTTGAGCTGCTGCTTAATAAATATACATATATATAAACATTTGTTTGATTAAAAACTTGCACGCCATACATATGTATGTATATAAACAAACGCTGCTACAACAAAATAGTAACAAAAAGTGATTTTTTTTATTTTGTATTTTTTTTTTTGGCAAATAAAAGTTTAGTGGAAAATAACGAATTTCACACGACAGCACACACATTGCGAACGGTTTGTTTTCTCATACAAATAAATTCTTTCTTTTTGACAATGCTGAGCGCAGCGCTCGCCTTGACCTCCTGACTTGTTCGCACGCCAACTAAGCTTCCATCAATTTTGCTAATTTATGCTATATATGTATGTATTTGCAAATATGTATGAGAGTGTGTGAGTAGTTTTTTTCACGCAAATTCTTCCTCTTTTTCTTTTTCGTAATTTTAGTTAACTTTCATTTGACTTTTCCGTTCAACTGTTTTTTATGTTTTTTTGCATATTTGTATATAATGCAATATATGAACCTGTCATATATTGTTTATATGCATGTGTATATGCACATTTGCATGTATGTATATTTTTATATATAATTTCTCAAATTTGCTTATCATTTATAACTAAATTATAATAAATACTTAATAATTCTTTTATTGTTTTTTTTTTATTATATAATGTGTTGCTTTTGTATTTTTTCCCTCAAGTTCTTCTTTTTTGCATATATACTGTTTAGAAACACCAACACTACTGTCCTTTTAATACACTAATACGGATTCCATTGTAATTGTATCTCATTTATTGTTTGTCTGTGCATTTGACGCCGTTGTGGCTTGGATTTGTGATGCTGTTTGCGATGCCGAATCCAGTGTGCGACGTGCCAGTCTTGACCTGGAAGAAGTAGAAGAAAGAAATTACAATATTAGTTACTAATATATTTTTTATTTATTTATTAATTAATTTATTTTATTTTTATTATTTTTGGCTATTGTTTATTTTTGCATTTTTCCATGCTCGTAGTTTTTTAAATTATTAATTTTTGTTAAATTTTTATTATATTTTTGGTCAATTTAAATTAAATTTTTTTCCATGTTTAAATTATTTAAGTTCTTATTTTCTTTCAAATTTTTAATTTTTTTTTTTGTATTAATTTATTGGAGTGTTTCTTTTCTTTATCATTTGTTTTTTATTTTCATTTATTTCTTTAATTTTTTTTTAATAACTTCATCTTAATTATTATTATTTTTTCTATTTGTTTTTTTTTTAATAATAAAACTTTAATTTTTATTTATTTACTTTTATTTATTTTTTCCAGTTTTAATTTTAATATTTTTAAATTTAATTGTTATTTATTTCAAAAATTCTTTTTTTTTACAAGTCTTTTATAATTTCTATTTTTTCTTTTTAATTTTTATTTCTTTTCTCAGTTTTTATTTCTTTTTTTAATTTTTATTATTTTATTAACATTTTTTTTAATTAATTTATTTATTTTAGTATTCATTTTCATTTTTGAAATTTTTTTTTTGCATAGTTTTTGTTTATATAATTTATATTTTTTTAACTTTTCTTATTTATTTATTCATTTTACTTTTTTCAATTTTTTGGTTTTTTTACTTTTAGCGTACATTCTTTCATTTTTATTTTTTTAACTTAATTTTTTGCTTCTATTCGTCTCTTTTTTAAACCCATTTTTTTTTTAAATATATTTTCTCTTTTTAAAACTTTTTTTTATTTGTTTTAATAATATTTTTAGCTTTATTTATCTCTTTTTGAATTTTTATTTATTTTTATATTTTCATTTATTTTTATATTTTTATTGTTTTTTATATTTTGCTTTTTTTATATTTTTATTATTTTTTATATTTTTCATTTATTTTTATATTTTCATTTATTTTTTATATTTTTGTTTAGTTCTTATAATTTTATTTATTTTTTATTTTTTATTTATTTTTATACAAATTTTTTATTTCTTAATTTTACTATAAATGTTCTAAATTTGAATACTTAATTATTTTTATTATTATGTCTTTTCTCTTATTTTTTATAAATTTTTTAAATTTTAATTTGTTTATTTATTTTAGTATTTACCTTTTTTTATTTTTTAATATCTATTTATTTAATTGATTGAAATTGAAAGTTAAAAAATACTTTTCTTATTTATAAATTTATATTAATTGTTTTTGTATTTTTTTATACATATTTTTTATTTTTTAATTTTACTTTTAACGTTCATTGCTTTCGTTTTCGTTTCTTGTTTTTATCTTTTTTAATTTGCTTTAATAATTACTTTTTATATCTTTTTTTTTTTAAACAAATTTATTTTTTAATTTTTTTAAAATGAGTTTTTAGTTTTGTATAACTTTTTTTTAAGTTTTCTACTTTTATTTATATTTTATAATATTAATTTTTATTTATTTAGATTTAATATTTATATTTATTTCTTATATTTTTATTTATTTTTTATATTTTTATTCAATTTTTTAATTTTAATTTATTAATTTTTATTTCTTATTTTTTTTTAATTTTAATTATTATTTTTTCAAATTCGATTTATTTCATAATTTTTTAATTTTAGTTTATTTTTTTTTGCTAATTTTTATTTACTATTAATTAATTTTTATTAGTTTTTTTAATTTATAATTTTTATTTTTTTATCTTTTATATTTCTTGAAAATTATTAAATTTATATTATGAAATCGATATAAATAAATTAAAATATATTTTTAGTATCATAGAACATACCCCCAGGCTTATCAGAATATCTTTAAAATCATGAGAAATATTGAAAATAATTAAGGAAATTGAGGTTAGGTCACACTTCAGGATTTTTGGATGCTTAGGTATAAAGAAAAATTCCTTATCATTCGTTAGCAAGAATAATTTTATTTATTAAATAATTTAATGGTGCGCCCTACGTTGGAAGTGTTCCAGGGCCTTAAGTGTTCCGTCATGGCTCAGTGCAACATTTAGACAACATCTGAAGGCGAGAAAGAAGCTGAGACGGTCGACGGAGACTGCTTCCTCAGCGCCATCAGTACGAGCATCCTCGTACACCTTTTCATTACCTTCTACATCTCTATGATAGCTGCTCAGAGGAAATTTGATATTGTATCCAATCGACACATATTTTTTCCATTCTTTCCGACCCCTACGACCTTGACTATCAGCCAAAATAAACATTTCTTGATTCTCTCGCCGCACCACTAACGCTGTCAACCTATTCGCAGTAGAAGTGTCACGTGAGATGCCTTGCCTCTCATAGCTTATTGCTATACTTTCGAAATGCAGTCTGCCCAGCAAACTCTTCGACATTTCCTTCTGATATCTAATGTAGATTCGGTCTTGCACAGCCTTCTTCAAATAAGTATGCAAATGCTGTTTTCTCTAGTTTTCTCAACTACTAGTCGATTACCACCGATAGAAGGCTCAACTCTTTGTGTGCTGTGCATGATTTCGATTACTGATTTAAGGCTGGATTCTGGTAGTTCTGGTCTTTTGGCAATGCAACGCTGAGAGCGCTCAATATTTATGTTGAAGTCAATATATCTGTGATTAGTGAATGAGCGCTCCAAGAAGACTCTTCTACCATTCCAGTTATTACTACCACTAACTATCACTGCTAGGCCTTGAGTTTATAATATAAGGAGAATTTTAGGCAAAAATAGTTGATAGAGCAGACTAAATATCAGTAGAAGGAACCTTAAACAGTCGAAAAAATGATTTTCCAAGAGGCCTCAAGCTGAGTGCAGTACATAATCTCACCAAAAAGGTCAGTTATTAAAAAAAAAAAACAAATAATTTGGATATAAGAAATACATAATCACCGATTTCCAAATTTTCAACCGCACAAAAATTGTGCTTTTGAAATTATTTTTTAATTTTCACTCATTTCGCCACTACCGAGCGCCAATTTAAGATCCATATTCGAGGAAACCACGATTCGAAACGTAAACGGGAAGATATTTTCTTGAAATTCGGTAGTCTGTGTTGAATGTTTGAGAAATGTGTCGAATTAAAAAGATGAATACTTCAAAACTAAGGTCCAAGACGTACAAGTTATACTCACTTTATCTGTCCAGCCAGTAGTGGATTGATGGCGTAGAGCCAATCGTGTACCTCCTTATCGCCCAATGTTTGCAGCAAATAGCCGCGATGCTTGGTGACGACACTGAAGAAAAAAAAATTAAATTATTACAAAATTTAAAAAAAAAATTGATGCTAGAATTTGTAAAGGAAAATAAAATATTCCTAAGGAGGAAAACTCCAGTGAGAAGGCTTTACAGCCAGCTCTTCTTTACAATTCTTCACTAATTTTACCTAAAAGTATTTGGTATTTTAACCATAGCCGCCTGATCTTCACTGCATTCCACTTGAGCTGTCGCTAAATTCAATACTGCACGCTCGACGGGATCCTTCTCCGATTTGTAAATGAAAACATAAGGGCGACGTACAATCTGGAAGGAAGATAGAAAAATCGTTAATTATTTAATTAATAGAAAAAAAAATTGCCAACTTACCACCCAACGTTTCTTCCAGCCGGAACCGCCATGTTCCAATACATTCAGCAAACCTTTACGCGCCACAACTGCGCTCACCCTAATTTCCTCCAATTCGGGCACATACAGACGTAGGGGTAATGCTGGTTGTGTAGCTGGAGCAGGTGCCTCCCAACCATTGGGTGCATCAGCACGATCGGGTGAGCATAATCTGGAAGAGTTATATGAAATTAATAAAGAAAAAAATTATTAAATATATTTATACATATGTAGTGATATGACACGAAAGGTTATTTAATAACGGTGAAGTGAGAAGCGCACATTGAGATCGTTTGAAAGGTGGGTGGATGGCGAAAAATACTACATTTAGTCGTACAAAAACAAAACTAGTACTCATAATTTACACAGTATTTATACAAGGATAAAGGTGTTATGCTAAAATGTGATAAATGTGGAGAGTGGAAAATATGTGTGTACTTTTGTGAGGTTATGTTTTGAAAATAATGTGTTCAAAGAATATACTATATGTGAGTGATATGTTAAACAGCTCTTTTAATAAGCGTGTTAGTAAAGGAAATATGTTAAGCAATACGCTCAATGTAGGCGCACAAATTTTTCAAACATTTTTAAGAATTTAAATTGAGAAAGTAAAAAAAAATTATTTTATTCTTTATTATTTTGAAATTTATTGAGTTTGTGCCAAATTATATTGAATTAGTTAGTCTTTTATGAAACTCCGTCGTATTGTGTGACTTCAACGCATATTTTTAGATAAATAAACGCATTCAGCCCATTTAAATACAATTCAGCGCATGTTGTTTTTGTCTTATGTATGGTATAAATAGGTAATCAATATAGTTTTTGAGCTCAGTTTCCAAATAGCTCATTCAGTGCATTTAAATTCAATTCAGCGCATTTCTTTAAGAAATTATACATATTTAACGGATTTGGATGCAATTCAGCACATGCTGTTTGTCTGTTTTTACTACGTTAAAATATTGTCGAGTACGTTATTTACATTTAACATTACCACAGTTAATTGTCCTCATACAAAAGTTAGCAACAAAGATATGAAACTAATTCAGCGCGCTCAAAGTTAATTCAGCAATTATTATTTCTTATTTGTGCCTAAGAATATAGCTTATCAGTGTAATTGGTTTAACAATCTAAAGTCAATTCAGTGTATATCATTTTTTCCTTGTGTCTAGTATAAAGAAGTAATCTTTCTATTTAGCATTTTCGCTGTTATCTAAAAATCGAATATCAAAGAAATTAAACGTATTCATTTAAGGACAATGCAGCGCTACATTTTTAACTTTGTTATAAAGTATTTTACTAATATTTATTTAAAATTAACAGCTTTATGGTTTAGTTAGTTTATTTTAGCTCATAAAATCTATTATTATTGAGTTTGAACAAATTCAGCGCACTCAAAATCAATTCAGCAACTATTATTCTTGATTCGCGACTACTAGAAACCGTTAACTAACATAATAGTGATCTTTAGCAGCTTAAGAGTCAATTAAACTCGTAAAATATTTGGTATCGAAGCAATTAGAGCTTCAGCACATTAAAAAGTCAATTCAGCAACTATTATTTTCTAGTTGCTACTAGTTATTTGAGATGCTATTTATATTTAGCACATTAAAATTTAATTCAGCGCGTTCAAAGTCAATTCAGCGACTATTATTTTGATACGGAATTATATTGAAACAAAAAATTTTAAGAAAATGACATTTATTTTGGGTTTATTTTATAGTTGTATTATTTCTAAAGAAGATGTTTGAAAAAATTGTGCGGAGTTATTAATTTTTAATTACTGTTATTTAAAAAAAAAAACATGTAAAAACTGTAAAAGCAAAGCAAATAAAAGTGTAATATAAATTCAAAACTTCAAATAAATAAGAAAATTACCTTCGTCTAATTTTTGGTGTTGTTCTAATAAGTTGAATTTTGTTTTGAGTTTTACCAAATTAAGAGAGAATTACATACACGTATATATAAAAAAAGAAAAAAGAACACAAAAGTAGAGTAAAAATTTAGGATTTAGATATATATTTTTGTTTGAATACTAATTTTAGGTACATAATAGTTTGGTTTTGGTAAAAAAAGAAAATATTTTTTAAACCGAAAACCTTATTATTTTAAAAACAAATATATAGGCTAATCGAAAACATACAAGGGCAGTCTTAGCAAAGATAAAGTCAAAACAAGTTCACTTACTCTATAGAGTTGCTGGAGATGCAGCTAACGGTCATGTCAGCGCAACCTTCATCGCTCGGCGAAGCATCCGACTGTGTGGCTGGCTCTGCTGTGGGATCTGTGAGTTTGTTGTACGTGCCTGTCGCGAGAGAGTTTAAAAAATGATTTATTTCAATACAAAAACAAAAAATCTACACCCTTCAGCACTTACCCTGCACCAACTTCAAGCATTTCAACATTAAATCCTGCTCACGCTGATTATACTCCCGCTCGGATATGATCTGTTGTGGATCCTTGACGGGCGTTTGTGGTGATGGTGGTATGATCATATGTACGGGTGAGGTGGCCGCACGCGCTGCCAAATTGCAAACATCCTTTTCGGTTTTTGTTGTTGGATTGGGGTTGGTATCCATGCCGAGACGTTCGCGCAACAACAACAAGTGACGTACACGACCCACCTCCTCGAGTCTGGTTAACTTCTCCAATTCCCATTGATGATCGAAAATGAGCGAATCGCCGCGTGGTCGCCAGCCGGAGAGATTCTCTTCGCCGCGCACATAAGTGGAGCTCGTATCTAAGACGCGTCGTTGGCGGCGTTGCACTCCTTTTGTCCGGGTAATGCGTGGTTATGAAAGGTAAGAGAGTGAAATTAGTTTTGGCTTCATTGTGTGTGTGTGTGGCGTAGCGAAAGCGGAACTTTTGAAGCTTTTTAACAAATTTTTTAGGATTTTTGCATATATGTAATAATTTTATGAATTTCTATATTTTTTCTATAAATTTTAATGCGTTATGAATTTAGCAGCTTCAAGCATTGAATATTTATTGCAAATAACGCTTTCGAACGGCGAAAAAATAACAGAAAACAACCAACACTACGTTAAGAATTTCTACCTGGACTACCTGCTTCAGAGGCTCTACGCAATGACAATTCATAAACGCCAGACAAACGATTAGCTTCGGGATTGCGATATTGTCCCGAGAAGAGGTGCTTCAATGAACGTGGTCCGGTGCGTGCGTCACGGCCGTAAATAACCATGCTAAGGTCTTTGGTGATGATAGCAGGGCGTGCACAGTTCTCCAGCTGCAAATAAACGAGGTTAGATTATTTTTTTTTTGTATATTCAGCGCCTATTTAACACTTTTTTATTGGGACAATACAGCTCAAAATAGTTTTTGAAAACATATTTTCAATTCAGCACATTCAGAAATTTATTCAGCAAACATAATTCATAAAAATAATTATGTTTTTCTATATAGCTATGTATGCTCATAGACAAAATCAAATTTAATTAGAATGTAGCTATTCAGCAGAGTTTAGATTTATTCAGCGCACCGTTAGTTTTACTCAAACGTAAATAAACAAAAAAAGTAACGACTTCTAGTTAGATTAAATGATTTTGGGCTATTCTATTGTAATTCAGCGCCATAAAACAAATTCAGCACGTTCTAAAAACATTTTCACGTAGAAAAAAACAAAACATTAATTATAATATGAAAAGTTAATTTTGCTCATTTACAACACGCATTTATAAATTCAAAAAATTTCAATTCAAGCAATTCGTTTTAAAATTAAGCTAATTTAAAATCGAACTGTAATAAAGTCATGTATTCACGGTGCACTATTTCGGAATGGCTAATTTTTTAAGATAATTAAAACTTAAAACATATGATTAAAATTAAATTCAGCACATTCAGCACACAATAAAAACTATTTTTATAACATTACATTTGTAAAAATCGCAATAAATGTGTTATTGAGTACACGTCATGCCAATGTGAACCCTCTTTTCCTTATTCCACACCCGGTTTCTTATTAACCAACTTGCCTTTCCTTATTCAGCACCCATATCCCCACTATAAACCCCCAACTCACCTCCAAATAAGCACTCAAAGTAATGTAAATAGTCTCGCCAGCTTGTGTAACACGATTCAGTAAAGCGGAATTGTGCAAACTCGAATCCCAAGCAGCTTCAAAACGATAGAATGAACGATCATCGCCGGGTACCTCCACAGTCTCGCCAGGAAACAAGCCCAACGATAATACACACGAGTCTTCATCCAAATCATCCGATGACTCAGGTGTATTGCGTATACGACCGACGACCAACTCGCGTATATCACGCCATTTCACTTCGGCTGTGGGTTCGTGTACAATGGTAATACGTATGCGACGTTGTATGCCCTGATGGAGCAGGAATAGGCCACGGCATGGAAGATCATCGCTGTGCTCAACCACCTGTAGGAAGAGAAACAGACTTAGAAGAGTTCTTATATCTAATAATAGCAGCTAAAAGAGATGTCTGGAAGCAAGCAAACTCACCGATGGCACATACTCGCCATTCGGAGCCAATTCGCAGATCTCAAACCAAACCAAGACATCATGTTTAGCCAACACTGTAGACGTTGATGGACATGGTAGCGGTCCAAACTTGGGACTACGCACCGGTTGGCTAATTGGAATGCTTGGTGGAAGCATGCGACGTGGTGGTGGTCGTGAAACGAATTCCTGTTTGGCATCCTTATGCAATGGATGTGTTTGATAGTGTCCGAAGATCTTAAACATGATCGGTTGGGTTTTCAGATATTCAATGAAAGACTTGGTCACGGGTACGGTAATCTGTTGGTGCGTGGAGGAAGACAAAAGTAGTTAAAATAGTATAAAAAATAGGTCTGAGAACATACATTTTGCACGTGATAGAAGCCGAGTGGTGCACCAGATGCGGAGTTCTTCACTGGTTCGGTGGAGAAAGCCTCCTCATGACGATGTAAAAAGCTTTAAAAAAACATAAAAAATCAGTCAATGAGTCTCAATAGAGCGGAACAACAACACTTACTTGAACTGACAGAAAATATCTGCATATTCAGCGCCAATTCCTGTGGCCTGTAGTACGGTAACACGGAATGTAAATTCCTTGCCAACTTGTAAGTGCTCACCAGGCTCCTCGTTAGCCTCTTGACACTCTGAAGCGGAGTTCGAATCAATGCCGCGTCCGGAATCAGCATCCTCAAGTTCTGGTGTGAGTTAAAGGGAAAAGAAAATTTAGTACAAAATTAAAAGAGACAAGTATTTAACCGCGTCGTAGACGTGCTGTCTACGCACCTTCGAGTTTACTATCCAAACCGCCATTGTCAATATAGCGTTGTACATCGTCTTTCTCGTTGAGCGCGCGATACTTGGGCTTAGCATCATCTTCGTTGAAAACTAAACGTGCAGACTGTTTTACGCCGTTATTAAAGTCAATAGACTCCTCGTCCTGTAATTACACAGAGAGAAATATATTTTCTATATTTATTTTATTTTCCTCTTCACACTCACCAAAACCGGTTGTACGGCAACACGCAAATAGCCACGCACATCGCCACGTTCATTAACAATAGCCACCTTATGTACGAGCGGTACGGGATAAAGTAGGTTACTCAAGTAAATGAATGAGCGACCGACCATGCGGAACCAGGGGAAACGATCGTAGAAAGGATCACCGCCAGTCAAACTCTCCACATTGTAGTCGGGTGAAGTGGGACTAAGTTCGGCTTCGTTGTGATACATTTCACGCATAAGCTCCAAACGTTGTCTGCGAAGAGAGTGGAATATAAGCGATTAATGGCGTACAAGAATGTACAGCGCGGAAAAATTTCAGAAGCTGGTGCATTTAAGGCGCAAAATAGTTAAATTTTTATTAACTAAATTTGAAAAAAAAAATAATAAAAAATCAATGCAAATCAATTTAAAAACATATTTACGTACATATTTAGTAATGAGATGCTGAGTATGGAGTTTACGAGTAATTATAACGGTGAATTAATAAGTTTTTCCATCAATACTTCATATATGAACTTGTGAAACGCTTCATATAGCAAAAGCTGTCATACAAAGTTGAACTTGTGAAACATCTCAAGTCCTTTATATATTATATGAACACAAGAAACGCTTCCAATAGTACAACATCTATACAATATTAAACTAGTGGGACTCAATATCGTAAATTTCTTACAAATTTGAACTATTGCAACACCTCAAATGATAAATCTTTTATATATGAACATGTCAACCACTTCAAATAGCAAAGCTTTCGTATAAAGTTGAACTTGTGAAACACCTCAAATAGTTTTTTATATATGAACTTATGAAACGCCACAATTTACATACAATGCTGAACTTGTGGAACTCTTTGAAATATGTTTCGAACAAAGTTGAATTTGGGGAACAATTCGAAAACTTTCATACAAAATTAAGCTTGTAGAAATGCATGACAATAGCTTTTTAAACATTTGAACTTACAAAGTTGTACTAGTAAAACATCTCAAAGTCTTGTATACGTATATCAACTTATGAAACGTCACAACTTTTACACATTCATGAGCTTATGAAGCTCTATGACATCCATTTCTTACATAGTTGAACTTGTGAAACACTTCAAACACTTCGATACCTACGTTTATTACATAGTTGAACTTGTGAAACACTTCAAACACTTCGATACCTACGTTTATTACATAGTTGAACTTGTGAAACACTTTAAAATGCAAAACTTTCATACAAACTTGAACTTGTGAAACACTTCAAAAAGCAAAGCTTTCATACAAAACTTGAATCTATGGAACATTTCATATATAAAATCTTTCATCCATGGTTGAACTTGTGGAACATTTCATACTTGTCAGAATTTTAACATATTCTCAATAATCAGCATCTCCTACAACTACATATAAGGCTCCTCAAAGGCACATGGATTTTTACATACAACAAAAAATGTACATACAAATATATATTTCTTTAATAATAAGTCAATGTAATAAACAGTTATGAAAAATAAGCCATTTATTTAAACAAAAAATATACACAATACCGCTAAAAGAAGCACAAAATCATGCACCACACATTAGTAAATATGGATTATTCCACATATTGGTAAACTTTGAAAGAATACGCTAGTAAGGAGAACCAAAGAACCGAAATCTCTAAAAAGACCTTCTGATTAATAGAATTCAAAGTCGAGTCTTGTTGGGCCCACACCAAACTGTGGTGCTTGGACGAAGAGGCCTCGCTTTGAATACGTAAGTGGGAGAAGGTTTAAATGGTTTGAGATTTTGAAAACTTTACGTAGCTTCCCCTGCCGGACAGGAGACGGGTTAGTGATAGATCTATCGGTATTTTAAAAACGAAAGTGAGCTTTCGTATTCATTTAATCTTATTTGGAAAGCTTTTTGATCGAGTTAATTCAAAAAAATCTCACTCAACAGACAAAATTGAATGACAAATCTCCCAAGTTAAATCACAAAAGTATAAATTGAATGCTTTAAGTTTTGTGCAGAGCTTTCAAAAGCTCAAGCAAAGTAAAAAGTGAATTATCAAATACTTTATGAGCTTTGCTTAAAGGCCTAAATACATTGAATAATAAGTACAACAACTAAAACAGTAGATTCACAAAAATATTATGCATTTGTTTTGAAATAAAAAAGACAAACAAGCAAGCTTCAAGCTTTTCCAAATATACACATACACCTAGTACATAGAACAAATGTAAAAATAAAAACCTCGTTGTAGCGAAAATGAAAGCAGACCTAGATGGCATTAAATTAGCCAATGACAGACGAGAAGGTGAACCGCCAACAACACCTTTCTTCGGGCTTGTCATACGAATCGCGGCCGTTAAGCTATCCTGTATGGGCGCCAGCAAGGAAGATGACGACGACGACGACGACGACGACGAAGTTGGCGACGACGACGCAGTTGTGATTGTGTGATTGTGATTTTGTTTTTGTAATTGGGATTGATGGTATGCAAGTGTGGTTTCGCTATTGGGAACTGGTTTTGGGTATACACCGTTAAGTGATGAAACGGTTGTAGTTGTATGCGGTATAATACCATCGTAATGTAGTGTCTCGGCGGAAATGGCGGCGCTTTCGCCACACAGCGAAGTCGTGTCGTAGAGCATCGATGATGGCGGACTCTCGACATTGTAAATTTGACGCATCAACTCCAAGCGATAGCTGGTTTTGTTTTTTTTTTTTTTTTTATACATACATATTTGTTTTTGTGTTTGTGTTTGCATTTTGAGCGCAGTGTGCATATTTGGGGTAGTTATAATGTGAGGTTAGGTTTGGTGGTTTAGAGAAAATGAAAAATAAAAACAAAAAATATACGAAAATTTTGTTAGTAAAGCCTAAACTAAGTAAGCTTAATTGTTAAAAAGGACTAATGTGATTTGTATTCAATGATATTTGGGGTTATGTTAGTCAATGTTGTTGGTATGAGTGTAATATGAATGATATGCGCAGCGTTTATGGTGGTAGCATTTCGAATTGAAAATTGAATTTTAGTTAATTTCTTCTTCTGAAACTTAAGCTTTCATAAAAGCTTTTCAAAAACTTTAGTTTTTAACTTATTTTTCTCTTTAAATTAAATAAAAAAAACCACCATGCACGTGCCAAAAATTAGAAAAAAATAATAATTTTTAATTTCTTTCAACGAAAAAATTATAAAAAAAAAACTATTTTCAAGCAAATTTCTATTGACTGTAATTCACTTAGAATGCCTTTGAGGATCTAAAAATCGTTAGCGTTTTCGTATTCAAAATAGATCACAAAAAAAAAAAAAACTAAAAACAAAAACACAAACATAATAATTATCCAAAACAATGAATGTGATTTTGAAAACATAAGACACTTGTGTGTAGACATTGAACTCTAAACTTACTAACAATTTCACAGTTTCATTCACAAAACACTCGTTTACTCAAAAAATACCACCGCTACTTACCGTAATTTCTCCAACGACCAATAATGTGTTGCACCATTTTTCGTGTCTGTCACCTCGACAGCAACAATAGTTTTCGAAACTGGTGGCGCACCAAATTCATCCTCATTTTGTAGTGTCGAAGCAGCGGCTGTGGCCAGCTCTGGCGGTAGCGGTGAGTAGAGTGTGTCGGTGAGCAGCGTAAATTGGAATTGCACCTAATGCAGAAAAAGAAGCAAAACAAGTTTATATTTAGTATTTATTAATATACAAAAAAAAAAAGTACAAAAGTCACCCTCTAACTCACTCACCTTCTTCTTCAACTCCACCGAAATGGCATTTGCCTCCTTCAAGAATATAGCATTGCCCCAAAGATCGTCGCGTAGTGAAGTGAATTGATGATAACGCCATTTACGGAATGCCCAAGCAGCCAAGCCGGCCTCGCGTGCAGTCCAACATGATTCGTAGAGTGGATTGGCTGAAACAGAAAAAGGAATAAATGCCATTTTGAATACCAGTGTTGCAAATACAGGAAAAAAGTTTTAAGTTTGATGATTTCTTCCCCTTTTGTTAGCGAATAATTTATATTTGCATAAGAAAAACTTAACTTTTTTCGAAAATAAATTCAATAGTAAGCACCAAAAGTTTGTTGTTGTTGACCGCAAATATATTCCCCAAAGTACTTTTTGGGGAATGTTGCGGAAGTGGCAGTCCTTGGCCGGTTGAAAGTCCGGTTCGTTCCGTCTGTCGCGGGAACTATTAGATTTTAGTCGCCTCTTACGACAGGCCTGCCTTACCACGGGTAAATTCTTGAGCCCCTAACCCGCAAGGGGCTGCACCAAAAGTTTATTTTTTCCCCAGTGAGACTATTTTTGGTCAATTTTTTCTGACACATCTCTCTGAAAGAGCCAACAACAATATCATGATATCATTGAGACGTTCCATTTTTCCTTGTGTTTTTCTTCAACGCCTAGTGCTGTTGTCGTAGTTTTCGTTGTAGCCTAAAAAATTTTACCCAAAATAATTTTTTTTGGAAACGTAGCGGGAGTGCATGTCCTTGCTCGGATAAAAATCCTTGCCGTGCTGGTACAAAAATTATTGAATTTTAGACGCCTCTTACGATAAGCCATGCCTTTTCACGTGAATATTCTTGAACCCCTACCCGGCAATATTATTCCTCACCTAAGCGTTCACCTTGCTTTAGATATGCCTTCGAGACGCCAGGAAACTTTGGTATTAAGTATTTAAAGCAATTTCCATCGCCTAGAAGTGACTTTATAAATTACTTCATCAAACTCAGCTTGAGGAGCGGCTGTGGTTGAAGAACTTTATGGAAACGCATCGAAGTTTAATGCAGATAATTTTTTTTTTTTGAGTTAAGCTGCCTCGTTAACGTGGCATTTAGCTGGATCTTAAGATCTGAAAATGTATGCCTCAATTTTCAATTTGTAAAGAAAACTCTTTCTTTTGGGCAAAGTAGGAAGTGAAATTCTTTTCACAATAACTATACTTGCCAGAAGATACTCCTGTCAAAGATCTTGACCTAATCAATGCAGCAGCGTTTTTAGGAAGATTTAAGTCTCTTATCAAGTCCTATAGCTTTCTCTAAAAAAATACTTTCAGATTTTTATCATACTCAGTTTCAAAACTTGACTTGTCATCGGGTTCAAGTAAAGCACCAGCAAAGGCCTAGCGGTTTAAAAAAAAGGTCAATCCTTCTTATGCCACTTTTGAAATTTGATTTCAATATTTTAACTTTCCACGCTTGTTGGGAGCTAACAATTTTGTTTTGTTAAGCTTACTACTTTCCTACTACTTAAAATATGCCAACTGACAGAAAATGTCACATAATGAATTAGTTTTGTTAACTAAAAATTATTAAATAATAATAATAATAACACTAAATCCCTGGAAACGGCTAATAAATGCGCATAGACATCACTGATTTATGGAGTAAAACATAAGCACTCAAACTTTTATGCTAAAGCTAACAAAAATTTGCAGTTTTCATTGGCCCTTAAACTGTGAAGCTTAGTTTCATATGAGCCTATGGTGTGAAAGAGATAGAAACTTGTGTGCGCTGAATACGCATATTTGACAATCGATTAATAAAGGCCCTGTGGCGCAATGGATAACGCGTCTGACTACGGATCAGAAGATTCCAGGTTCGACTCCTGGCAGGGTCGAGCGAATTACTTTTTAATATTTATTGGTAAAAATTAATTACTTTTTGTAATTATAAGACTTCTTAAAATAAAAATATATTATTATTTTAATGCATTTTAACTTTTCTTTGCTACTTACTGTATAAATCTTCCTCTTGATGGAAATCTTCCGGTGAATAGCTGCTATACATTGACATAGTCATTGACTGTTCTTCCACTTGTTTTTGTAATGCATCAATGCGCGCTTCATAATTCTGAAAAATAATATTAATTTAAAAAAAAAATTCACTGCAGCTACAATCATGCTTGCCACTCACTTTACGCTGCTCCTCGAACTGCTGATCAGCCTGCAATTTCTCCCGCTTATACTGTTCCTCCAAATTATCCAAGCGTTTCTGCATTTCCGCCTTCAAATCAATACCCTGCTTTTCCAACAACTCACACTGTGCAAAATTCCAATCCACTTGCTGTGTATCGGCCTTCTCTGTCTCATTCTCATTTTCCGCATTCTCTGTTATCTTCTCACGCAATTCACGCGCCTGCTCGGGATTGGTAAAACGGAATACATGATTCTTGCCGAGTATAACACGTGAACCGGTCTTGAGTACTTCAGGTTCAACTAATTTACGTCCATTTAAATAGACCAATGCATCTTTGTGTGGTATAAGTGTAACGGTGCTGTTACGATTTTCAAAAGTACAATGCTCTTTTAAAATATGTGAGCCGGAGAGTTGTATATCTTGCGGTACATTGGCTTCGTGGGTTCCCAAACGTGTTATGCCATCTTTAATGTAGTAGAGTAGACATTCCGATAGGTTGGGATCCTCATTTAGATTGACTAAATGTGGTGTTTTCTTTGGTGAGAAGACACCCACGGTGTCACCATCCTCCTTGACCGCTACACCCATTTCAGCGAAGACCGCCTCGCGTTGCAAGCGTATCTCTTCGGTGCGCTTGAGTTTCTCTTCCCATGTTTCGTTGAGCTCTGGTGGGGGGCAAGAGAAGATGATTATATAAATGTTTATTATTATTATTGTAGTTTATTTAATTAATAATTAATTTTTTAGTTATTTTATACTATTATGTTATTATTTTATTTAGTTTATTTTCATTATCTTCACTTAAGTTTACTTTCTTTGTTGTTGTTGTTGTTGTTGTAGCGGCTACGTTTACCCCGCTTAAGGACAGGTTAGTTAATCTAAGTCGCCGAGGTCATCGAACGCGATTTATTTTTTTTTTTTTTAGTTTTTACATTATTTTATTTGACTTTATTTTATTTTATTCTACTTTATTATATATTGTTTTATTTTATTTTATTTTTTTATTTCATTCTTTTATTTTATTTCATTTCATTTCATTTTATTTTATTTTATTTTATTTTATTTTATTTTATTTTATTTTATTTTATTTTCGCCCACTTACCTGCAATTAACTTTTCGCTAGCCTGCAATTGGTCCACGGCCATTTCAGTGGTAGAACCATTACGATTGCGTGCCTTGGTTGGTGACTTCAACGGACCATTGCCAGACTTGGTCATCTCGTCTTCTATAGAATGATAAATGATATTAGATACAAATGTTTAGTTATAAAATTAATTTGCACATTGAGAAGCATCTGCATATAATATTTTCGAAAAGCGTGCAAAGCGAAAGGATAGACGAAGACTATGTGAGCAGGAATGAAGAAGAGAATGATGGATACTTATATGCAAAATATATATTTTGTAATTATGTACAAGTGTTTTTTGTATTAGTTGTGTTCGTGGAATGAGTTAATTTTCTTTGATGTTCAGACACGCTCAATTAAACAAAAAAAATTTTTATTTAACAGCCGAGAAATGAGTATTTAATTGCGACAATGTTTGATTTTAATAGAATAATAATAATAATAATAATAATAATAATAATAATAATAATAATCAATTCATTTATTTAAATTTTTCAATTATACGCGCTTTCCGGCGCTTCTGACTGAAGAACTACCGCAAGGTCTCTATATAACCCTGAAAATCTGATAACGATTTTTATAGAAATCGAAAAATAATGGGTATTGTTGTAAGGAAAGACAATTTTCCATAGAACTGTTGAACTTAATTGCCAATTAGCTGCCTGTCTGAACATTTAGTAAACTTAAAAATGAATACAAAATTAAATGCTTGAAGAGTAGAATGAAATTATGTATGAATATTTTAGGTTTATGATTATATTAAAGTGGCAGAAGCGCAAAAAAATTCACAAAAAAAATCTAGTAGACAATTCACATCAACGTCACTTGTATGTAGAGAACACATATCACACGCACAAATATTAAATTATTAAGTATATGCACTGGCAGTTAAGTTAGTCAAAAGTCGTCAAATGCTTCTAAAATAAAATTAAAAAAAAAAAATCAAATTAAAATAGTTGCCGAAAATCTTCAGACCGACTGGTGATGGATGCTATACTCGTATAACAATCCCGTATGTACTCGGTATGGTATCTAACTAAATCAGGAAGCAGTGGTATATGATAATCTCTTTGAAAGCTCAATTCTATAAAAGTCTTCCTTGGTCTAATCTACACCTGGCTCTGAAAAAATGTATCAAGACTCAGTATCCAACGAAATCTCTTGGGCACCAGGATCTACGCATGGCCTTACGGTATGTCCGCTACACAAATGAAACGAAGCCAACCATTATGAAACAACAAAAGGAAACTGGCATTTCGCAGAAAAATTTGGAAGGGCAGAAGTTAAAAAACAACCAGGAACCCCTCTTCATAGATAACAAAATGTCACCATTAGTGTGGCAAGAAGAGGATCTTTATCGAGATAACCTTGCCTCTAGTACAGATGGCTCAGGAATGCAGACTTTTGCCTTTGAAACCAGCGAGGTGACTTCAATGTCCATCCCGTAGCATAAAAATCGCAAATACCAACCAAAGAGGTGTGTTACTTCTCAAAGAAAGCAGAGACGGCGATGAGTAACTGAAGACTATCAATCGATGGTATAGGTCCAAACAAATATCGCCGAAACTTAGAAGGGCTGGCGAGTCATCTTGCTGGGCTTTCCAGCATCTTCTTCGAAAAGAATGCAGATAAATCTTAAAAGAAACATTTGGTTGCTCTAAACAACAGCTTTGGATCAAGTAAAAGCAATTTTTAATGATCAACATCTAAGAAAGGTAAAGAGAAACTTTTCGAGAGATATTTTGCTTCGCTATGCGACAGAATGGACGGTATTTTTATAATAAAAAGAAATAAATTAAAATAAAATATAGTAAAATAATATAGACAATAAAATAAAAATAAAATGGAATAAAAAGTATAAAAAATAGGAAAACCAAAAAAAAAATTAAGTAAAATTAAAAAACTAAAATAAAAAATTAATAAAAAAAAACTACGGTAGAAGGAAATTAAAATTAAATAAAATTAAATAAACTAAAATAACACTGAAAATAAAAAATAAAGCAATTAAAATGCAATATAACATGTAAAATATAAATAAAAAATTAAATAGAAAGAAATATAAATAAATACAAAATAAAATTAAAAAATAAGATAAAGTAAAATTAAAAAAGAAAATTTAAATGGAATAAAACGTGAAAAATACAAAAAAAATTAAATAGAAAGGAATATAAATACAAAGTAAAATTATAAAGGAAATAATAATAAAATAAAAAAATTAAATAAATAATCACGGTAGAGGAAAATCAAAAATTAAATAAACTAAAATAACACTGAAAATAAAAAAAAAATTAAATAGATAAAATGTAATAAAACGTATAAAAAATAAATAAAAAAAATTAAATAGACAGAATTATTAACTAAAAAATAAAATTAAAAAATACGATAAAGAAAAAATAAATAGAAAAAATGATAAAATAAAACAATTGAATAAAAAAAACTACGCCGAAGTAAAATCAAAAAATAAAATTAAGTAAAATAAAATAGCTGAGATGAAAATGAATAAAATACCATTAAATTAAACTAACTAAATTAAAAAAAATTTAAATAATGTTAAATTGAATTACGTTAAAATATTTTTTTTTTAATTAATCGAAAATTACGTTCATTATTTAATTAATCAACGGACAATGCAAAATAGCGGTTTCGTTTCAATAACGTAAATGATTTTATACCTGTATATATGTATATATATTTGGAAATTGGAAAATATTTGTTTCATATGAAATTAATTCACTAAGAGTATGCCATGTTGAAGCCACTCTAATTGTAAAGAGTACGGTACATATCGACATGAGTATGTATATGTAAAGTTCGGACGCTTTACAAATAAATATACAGTATACAATTGCAAATACATTGTTAAAGCACAGAATAGATTTGGTAGTTAGGAAGCCATAATTTGTGTATGTATTTTTGGATATTTCGATATATTATCACACACAAACACATACATACGTACATACATTGTGTATATGTCAAAGTCACGCGTATACAAAAATATTTACATACAAAGAAAAAAAAAGGAACACAAAATTTGCTGCATTAATTGCGTATTACTTGGCATTTAAGCAATTTTGAGGTTAGCTTTAATGAGGCAAGTAAAAATATAGCTAAATACCAGTTAATTAGGCTTATTGTCACTTTTGTTATTGTGTAATTAAGTCGGTTACCATTTCTTTCTATAGCAGGCGTGCATTACGCAATTTTACTATTAGGCGGTGTGTGTGTGTGTGCGTTTAAGTTTTAGGTTATTTTTTTTTTGTAAAATATTTTTTTTTTAATTTAAAAATGCATATAGCGATTTTTTTAGACACAAATATAATTAATTTGTTGGTTGCGGTGACATGGCAGAGTTGCATTATTATTAATTTACGTGAAATAATTATATTTTCGCTTTTAGTACAACAAACAAACAAAAAAAAATTGCAAAGCTTTTTGTATATTTTCATAAACGAAATTGCATTATTGATTTTTTTTTCTATATTTTTTATTTTTTTATTTTTCCATTGCTACTTACTATTCGGATCGCGCTTCTCACAAACCACTTTACCATCGGGCCCTAAATGAAAATATGCATAGACGATAGAGATATAGGTTTGTGTTGTTGTTTGATTTTAATTAAATTTTTTTTTTACTTTTTTTTTAATGTGTAAACTAGTTTAAAATTTTGCCTGGGTTGTTGAATTAATTTTGCGAAATTTCCATGCGATATAATGAGCATGATTAAAATTTTTGGTGTGCGATTAATTCTTTTTGTTTAATAATTTTTTGTAATGCTTTGTTGTTTGTTAATTATTTTATTGTTTTTTTAATGGAAATTTCAATATTTTTTTTTTAAATGATTTCTAGTGATTTCGTTTTAGTAATTGTTTACTTTTCTTTAATTGGTTAGTAAAAAGTTTTTTTTCTACGAATTTCGGAAAATTAGTGAGCCTCTAATTTAATAAAATCTTATACAACTAAGGGTATAATAAACAATTTTCTTTTGAGATTAGATAGTATGAAAATGACACGCCACACCTACCTTCTTGCACCTCAATACCCTCGGCCTTCAAGAGATCGCGCAACTTTTGTATCTCTTCCTTGAGTTCGCGTATAAGCTTGGCGTTGGCATCCTCGTTGACGATGGCCTTGCAGACGATCTGTTTGGCGCGATCAGCATAGCTGGAAGCGAAAATTATATTGGTAAAATTAAATTTAAAAAAATATGTATTAATAATAATGAAATTATATTGTATTTATCTTCTCGCTTTCTTTGTGGTACTCACCGCAATGTACTCAATGTTTCGTCGTAGTTAATATCAGCTGGTGAGATGGCGGCAATCATGGCTGTTTTAGAGTTGCCACCTAAATTTTCGCGCAAAAGCCAAGTAAGCACAGAGTCACGGTATGGTATGAAATCGGCTTTCTTCGATTTCTTGTTTTTCGAAGCCTGAAATTTTTGTTGAGAAAGAGAATGAGTGAAAAAATACAAATAAATAAATACAAAAGTCTGCACTGAGGAAAACTTAATAAACCTTCTTCATGATATTTTGATGAGAAATGTATTAATTTAAAATAAAAAAATGTATAGTTAAAAAAATTTTAGATTAAAAAAAGTTATGATTAAAAAATATTTATAATTAAGAAAAAAAATGTAATTACTTTTGATTATTTTTTACTTTTGATTATCACTTATTTGTAATTTTTTTGTTTCCAAATTAATTCTATTATCTAAATATTTTTACAAAAACATTTTTTTCAAATTGATTTTTTTTTTTTACAATTCACAACTCCTCAAAGAATATTAAAAATTATATTTTCCTCTTAAATATTTTCGAAAACGTTTTCTCCACATTTCTTTCAGTGTATTTTCGAAAAGAATTTTATTTCAAAATATTTTTTTAATACTTACAGACTGTTTTATTTTCAAGTCGGTTGTTAAATATTTATTAATGTGAAATTTTCATAAGGTTTTATGAAATTTTGAAAAATCGTAAAATATACATTTTACATATTTTTATTTTTTTTTTTGTAAAATCGTAATCCAATTTGATTCATATATTTTTATTTTTTATTGTTGTGTGCAAAATCGTTCAGCATTGTAATGAATGAGAGATAAACAAGAGCAAAAAAAGGCAAGTGAATAGTAAAAGCTTCAAAAATATTGCTGTTTTCAAAATAAATATGTACATACATATATGTAGCATAAATATAGCATATATGTATGTTATGATATTTATGAAAAAAATATTCCACTTACAATTTCAGCCAAAGCTGAGATGACTTTGCCCAGTGTGGTTAAGGACTTATTAATATTGGCGCCCTCCTTGAGACGAGTGCCTTTGGCGCCAGTCGAATCCGCACGTTCCGAACCAGCCAAATCGACCAAACTGATTTTGGAAACTTTTTCAGTGGTCAAATCGGTCATTTTGTCATGGCGACGCTGTGTAAAGAAAATGGTGAAAACAGCATGCGAGCGGGAGCTCGTCTCGTTCATGTTGGTAGCGGCGACAGTGCTGGGGGTGAGAATGAGGGAAAAGGGAAAATTTAGTAAAAATTAACGGTTAAGAGGCTTAAAAAATGAAAATAAATCAAATATAATCAATTAAAAATTAAGAAAATTTAAATTAAACTAAATATAATTGAAAAAAAAACGAAATAAATTTAACTGCATAATACAAAATAAAAATCAATAACTCTGAAATAAAATAAAGTTAAATAAAAATAGTTAAATATTAAGATAATATTATTAAATTCTTTAAAACAAACAAAATGAAAATTAAAAATGAAAAAATTAAAGAAATTTGACATAAAATAAAATAAGAGAAAAACTAAAAAAATAAAACTGAACAAAATTTATAAACTGCAAAAAAATATTAAATAAAATAAATTAAATTACAATAAACAAAGTTAAATTGAAATTAAAATTTAAAAAGAAATAAGAAGAAGAAAATTAAAATAATTTAATATAAAAAGAAATAAAATGAGAGGAAAATTAAATAAATTAAGCAAAATTAAATTAAAATTAAATAATTAATATATAATAATGAATAAAAATAAACAGTATTACAATAAACAACTAAATTGCATTAAACATAAAACTACGGACGAAATAAATTAAAATATAACAAATTAAAATAAAATATGGCAAAAATTTTATAAAACACAATATAAAAATAAAATTAATTATATGAAAAAAATAATTAAATTATATACAACAAAAAATTAAAAAATATAAAAAATTTAAATAAAATATATAAACTAAATAAAAATTAAAAAGGCCAAAAAAAATAAATATAAACAAATAAATAAAATAAATATAAATAACATAAAAATAAACTAATATAAAGTAAGTTAAAAGTTAAATAAAATACAGTCCAATACAAAAATATATATAAATTAACAAAATAAAATAAAGTAAGCTAAATAAATAAAATTTTACTAAATGCAACATAAAAAGTTAAATGTTATAAATTAAATTACATTAAACAAAGTTAAATTAAAATTTATAGAAGAATTAAATAAAAATAAAAACAAATTAAATCAAATAAAACAATATGAACTACTTTAGAAAACATCAATTAATTCCAAAATAAATAAATAATATAAATTATATGACATTAAACAACGTTAAATTCGAGTTAATAGAAGAATAAAATAAGAAAATAAAAATTAAATCAATAAAATAATATAAACTACTTTAAAAAATAAATTAATTAAAAAACATTAAATAAAAAAAGCAATGTAGATTTAATTAAAATAAATTAAACAAAATTACATTAAATAAAACAAAAATAAAAACTAAAATAATGAAAATTAACATTAAATAAAATTAAATTAAAATATATATAAAAAAAAATTAAATAAGTCAAAATAAAATAGTAAAAGAAAAATAGCTGAAAAAAAATTTGAAATCAAAAAAATTAAAATGAAAAAATAAAACAGTAAAAAATGAAAATTAGCTGAAAAAAAATTGAAAATCAAAAAAAAATTCAAATGAAAAGAAAAATAATATGAGAAATATAAAAGCCAATTAATTAATTACAGTAAATTATATTTAAGCGGAACTCAATAAAATAAACGGAATAAAGTAATTAATTAAATAAATAAAAATAGAACAAAATAAAATATTTAATTATATGAACAAAATCGGTTAAAATCTTTGTAAAAAAAACTAAATTAAAATCAATTAAATTGCATTAAAGTGCAATTAAATTAAAGCAATTTGATTTATATGATATTTTCTAATAAATTTGATATCACAAAAATGTTAGATTAATATTCTGTTTTAATAAACTCCAGCAAAACACCAAAAAGGAAAAAATTAATTAGAAATATAGACACTCATACATAAATAAAAAAGAGGAAATTCTCAATGATTATATCCACCTACCGCGCCTTATTGCCCTCATCGATTAGATCGTGTATATCCTGATAGTCAGTCACCGCCAACTTGGATAAATCCTCCACATATGGACCGAGCAATGGATGCTCACGTACGCGTAGGTTGCCTTTGTTCTTCGGATTTAATAAATCGCGTACACGTTCGCAATAGATTTCCATATATGAAACCTCAACCTGAATGCAGCAAAGAATTTATAATGAAAAGCGAGATAAGTATAAAAATGTAAAGGGTAGTGAGCAAACAGATGAAAGCAAGAAAATTGTAATGAATGCGGGCGTATTCATCAGTATGCGAAGCGACAATGTTTATATTATCACAATATTGTAAAATTATTTCAGTTTTTCTTTTATTTTAATTTTTCCTATTTTTTGTACTTTGTAGTTTGGACGCTTTTGTTTGCATAAACTACATATGTACATAAATCACAAGCACACAGGCATACACATGCAATCGTCAACGTCGTCTGTCTGCATGGAGACAACAATCATCACTTGCATTCTAAAGAGACAATATTTAACCGCACACACACATACACATAAATATACACATATATGTATTTATATACACATATATATATATATTTCAACTGCATACATACACCGCACCGTCTTTCATCATTTGATCCTTTCAACTTCTTTCACTTCACTTCATTTCACATAAATTTATTTTCCACACACTACACCGCTACTTTTACACTACTATACATACAAGTAGAAGTACAGCTAAACAACTGTACAGTAGATTACAGTTACAACTATACTACTTGCCCCTCAAAGCTTTCCTACAACGCCCTCAACTTACCGAATACTTGAGCTCATTTGTTTCCGTGTCATGTATACGATTGAAGAGATCTTTACAAATCATCGGTATAATACCCTCTTGATGTTCCTCTTGCTTGCCCATCATTGTATAGGATTTGCCAGCACCGGTTTGACCGTAGGCAAATATGCATACATTGTAGCCGTCGAAGGAGTGTTGCAACATCTCCTCGCCAATGTCCTTGTAGACCATTTCTTGTGTGGAGAATTCGGGATCGCGTGGCTGTTGGTGGAGTGAAAAAGAAAAATGCAATTAAAAAATGTTTTCTATTATTTATATATATATATATATAATATATATAGAATTAAATATTATTATTTTTTTTTAATTGCTTTAAGCATACTTACATCATGTGACCAATAGGAGTAATCGAAATTGAAGCTCTTTATGGCTTCGCTGCTGTTTAATGGTACTTTTGGATTTGTGATGGCTGCAAAGTGGCAAAATAATAAATTTATAAAATTCATTATGTTGTTCAAACAATGGACTAAGTGGCAACTAAGCATTGATCTTATTATTTTATTTTATTTTATTTTATTTTATTTTATTTTATTTTATTTTATTTTATTTTATTTTATTTTATTTTATTTTATTTTATTTTAATTTATTTTATTTTATATTTTTTAATTCAATTAAATTGTTTTATTTAAATAATTTTTTACTTTATTGAATTTCGTTTTTTTTATTTATTGCATTTTATTTTGTTCAATAGTTTACTGTATTTTATTTTATGTTATTATTTTTTTATTATTTAATTTTATATATATTTATTTCATTTTATGTTATTTTAATTGAATTTATTTTTTTCTGTTTTTTGTTTTAATTTAAATTTATTTGGTTTTATTTCCTTATTTGGTTTTCATTTTTTAATAGCAAATTTTTTTAATTATTTATATTTATATTATTTTGGTGATTTGTTATATATGCATGTATTTAACGGTTTTTCGTATAATACTTACCGGTGGTAGCGCCGTTCATTTGAATTATGCATTTTGATTCTCGACCGATTTCACGCGAATTGAAGGGTCGCACTCGAACCGCCACCTTAACGGACGACATTTTGGCGGTGAGAGAGGCCCAAAGGCCTTAATTATACTCTAGTAGCTGTAAGTAGAGAGAGAGAGGGGGATGGCGAAAGTATTAATAACTATTTTATATGCAAACTTTAATTCTATAAAATATTTATTTATAATACAAAAACTAATGGGGTAATAAATATATGTATATGTAAGGCTGAAAGTACTTCGACAGCAGCGACACCTGTCTTTTGTTTTATAATTTTTTTTTCAGCCTGATTTAAACGACATCTATTCATGTAAAGAGATATTGGCTTTCATAAAAGATTAAAAAATTTAAATTTCCTCATGAAGATGATCATCAAAGTAGGATACAGAAAAGGCATTGGATTAATAAAATCCCTTTAATGTCTCTGAAATGGAAACTTTAGCTGGACAACTTTTAAAATTTTTTTCCCCAATTTTCTTTGCCGCTATAGATGTAGGCAAATACACTGGCATACAAAAGCGGTTTGAGAGAAAGTGCAAAAGTAGCAGAAAAAAAGTTGCTAACAAGTCGTGCGTAATTTTCACATTAATTTATTTATTACGCTGAGTAGCTGCGCACAGAGAAGCACTACACCAGTATAAGCGGGGCAAAAGGTAAAACTTAGAAAACTTTAGCCATGAAACTTATTTCGAGTGCTTTGAACTGCGAAAGAAGAAGTAAAAATATTAGAGAAATATCTAATTAACAATATATAGAAATACAAGTACATTTTGGCTCATAGATGAGTCATGATTGAATCACTCCTGATACAGATATTTAAAAATATAAATCAATTCTAACCAATTGCCACACAACAATGATTTATTAAAGCATTACTATAATAAAAATCAATGCAGAGTTATAAAAATTAGCTTTTAAAGTCAAATAGGCGTCACTTGTGAACGCAAAATAAGTCATTATGATCTGACTGATAATGAGATATTTAGCAAAATAGAGTCTAGATTGGCACACTTGAAATTTATATATTTTAAAATATTAATTTATGTGCCTCTATATAATTTATTGACGCATTACTATTACAAGTGTCACCTTAAAGTCCAAAAAATATGCCTTTGGAGTCAAATTGGGTATCTAAAATAAGTCATAAATGATCTGTATATGACTAATATTTGCAGTAATGAGAGCTTAAGCAAAGAAAATTAAATATTTACGTTGCGAATGCTAAAAATAGCACATAACTAATTGATATTAAAGCACATGAATGATTTATATGCGACTCTCAATGCTTGCTGGGTTGGAGCTTTTGGTTTTGACACATTCTTTTCGCTCGGAGCACATCAAAAATCAGAAAACTTCTCACATAGTAGCGCACTAAGTTTTCTTTTATGTTTTTATAAATTAGCAAATTACCTTTTACGCTCTTATTTCACCTCTTACCATAATCAAAGGGTATATGCCTCTGTGTACGTGCGTCAAAGTATGTTGGTGTGCCATGTCGTATGAGCAACATAGAAACAAATAAACTATAGCAACACACACACACACACACTCTTCTCCGCTTTAAATATATTTCAGCGCTTTTGAGTGCTCACCTGTGCGGGCAGTTGACGCAGCCACTTATTATTTACATTTAAAATTTTATTATTTGTAATTTTCAACAAAAACAAAGCCCTAAAAAAAGCAAAAAGAAAACAAGAACAAAGCAATGTTTTTCGAAATAATGGCAAGGTGCATAAAAGTTGTTGACTCTTTGCAGCGACAGAGAAAAACTCTGCAACGTTGCCAAAGTCCATGGTTTGTATGTTAACAATATTTATGTCTGTATATATAATGGCAACTGTTGGGGTGGCTTTTTCTACTTTGTGACAAATTTATTGTGCTTTTTTTGTTGTTGTTTGCTGTTAAGTAAGAAAAATGTGTATCTAATTTATGCAAATATGTTTTAATTAAATTGCGTTGTGGTGTATGTATTCATCAGTTCCTGTAGAGCTTTTCTTTGTAACTGTGAATGAATGGTGTTTATAATTTCAAATACTTTGAGTGAGGTCATGACTTTAAACTTTTTACGCTGCGTTGAATACTGCGAGTGAGCTCGGTATGTATGTATTATGTATAATAGTATACATAAGGTGCTTATCATTTGCCATTTTATGTATTATATAATTATTTCAAAATTTTTTTTATTGTTTTATTTTATTTTATTTTATTTTATTTTATTTTATTTTATTTTATTTTATTTTATTTTATTTTATTTTATTTTATTTTAATTTATAATTTTTTCTTTTATTTTATATTATTTATATATCTTTCTTTAATAACTTTATTTTTTTCATAGTTTTATTATATTTAGTTAAATTTTTCCAACTTTTTTATATAATTTAATTTTATCTAATTTATTTATATTTATTTGAATTTTTAATTTGTTTTATTTTAAGTTTTAATTTTACATTTAATTTTAGCCTTTTATTTTTTATTATTATAATTTTTTGTAATTTTATTTTATTTTTTTTTAATTTATTTCATATTTCTTTTAGTTTCATTTTTTTAATTTTAAAACATTTTATTTAATTTCTTTTGTTATTAGTTAACAAGCGAGTTTTTCACCCCTGCGCCGACATCAGCTATAAAATCTACTGTTGTATTATTAGATTCATTATTAACCAAAAGCAATTAAGTGCGCTATTTACACCGGATCCGTTGGATCGATCCCTGCGATAAATAGTCTGATATGGAGATATGGTTATCCCGGAAACAGCTGTCACTTTTACCATTTTTCCTTGTTGTATAACAAAAATATTCAATTTAATAAAGAAATTTTTGTATCACAATTTTTACTCCCGGGAACTTAAATGAAATTTTACATGTACCGGTTGAGATCTAGAGGGATATATTTTAAGAAAAAGACAAAAAATAAATTCAGAAGCACAAAGGTTGGCGCAGTGAAGCCTAACATATTTATTAATTAACGTTGCATACTTTTGGGCATCACAACTAAATTTTTCACATAATCGAGGCAAGTGACGTATATATCTAGATAAATTTTCAGGGTCATTGATCCCCTACTACTATTACTACTATTTATGCTAAAACAAAGCCACCTCAGGCTATAAAAAAATAGTTTTGGTGGTGTGAGCCGTAAAGTCAAAATTAAATTTACTGTTTGGCTTTCTCATTTGTGCTCAGTAATATTTTTTATACACACACACACATATATTAACATATAAACTCATACTTGATGGGACTTTTAACACATTCACTACAAAACAGAGAACGGAAATTTGATTAAGAGTATGTATGCGAAGAAGAAGAATGGAAAACTCCAAAGAAAATTGTCGCATTTATAGCCAATTTCCATGAGTCATGAGTCAACAGCAGCAGCAGCAGCAGCAGCAGCAGCAGCAGCACCAGACACCGGACTACCGTAGGGCGTCAAAGTGGAGTCCAACAAAATGGCGTTCGATGGCGGTCGCCACCAGCGACGTCAACAACCAGCAGCCAATAACAATGGCAAAGCTTAAAAACGTTTTTATTTGTTAGTTTCTGACTTATTCAAAATTTATGATATTGGTATATACATATATGTATGTATTTAAACATAAAGTTATTTTTACAAAGAGAAATGAGGAAGTTAAATATGCGTATGTGTTAGTTTTCTTTTTTTATTAAGCGCTTTATGTCCTTCATATAAACGCTCATATATACTTAAATATGTGTGTGGGTGCGTGTGCGTGTTTATTTTCATTTGGCGGCAGTCGCATATGGCGCTGTCGAGTCTCTTGGTCATAAAAAAAAACGCTGTCCCGCCTCATGCGGTCATAAAAATGCCAAGGAAGAACTACTCAAACAATATATGAGTACTTGGCTGCCAAGTTTGTGGCGCAAGCAGTAAAGCCGACGCTATGAACTAACCAATGCTGCCATTAAGTTGTATAATAAGAGAGTAAAATAGTTATAGCTTTTAGCGGTAAAGTTGAAATAAAGTAGGAAGCAGCAGGAATTAAGTGAATGTTGGAGCTTTCTGCTCTTTTTAGATATCACATAGTGAGTCATTCATAATATGAGGGTTGGAAATATTTTTAAGAATTACAAATGAGCCATAAAAGCAACTAAATATCTGTTTGTACGTTTATAGTAGCATTTGCTAATTAATGTATGCAAAAGTCAGGAGATTTTCAAAAATTTTTATATATTTTATCGATTCAAAAAAAAAAAATTAAAATAAAATAAAGTACACTGTAAATAAGGAATTAAATTAAATAATATTAGCTAAAATTAAGTTAATAACATAAATTAAAATAAAATAAAATAGAAAGTTATAAAATTGAAAAAAAAAAATAGTTAATATAAAAATAATTTATATATAATAATAAAAAATAAAATGACAAATTTATATTAAATTAATAGAGTAAAAATAAAATAAAAGTAGATTAAATATATAAAATAAAGTGTAGAAGATAAAAAGATATGTGATTGATAAAAAAAAAAAACAAAAAATTCTAAGAAAATGAGTAAAATAGATTAAAAAACAATTAAATAAAATAAAATAAATAAATAAAATAAAATAAATTAAATATCAATAATAAAATTGATAATTAATAAAAAAAATTAACCATAAAAATAAAATGGGCTAAGCTAAATTAATTTATTTAAAATAAATTGACTTAAAGAAAAAAATAAAATACATAAAATAAGTGAAAATAAGATAAAGGAGAGCTTAAATTAAATAAAATATAAATTAACTAATTAAAAAAATTGAAATGAAATTAAGGAAAAAAATCAAAAAAATTAACTACATAAAAAATCAAAAGAAATAAAATATACCATAATTATAAAAGAAAAATAAATTATAATAAATAATTAAGTACAGCAAAATTTCAAAAAGTAATATTTAATAACAAATTGGATTATAATAAATAAATAAAAAAGAAATAAATTAACTGAAGTAGAGAATAATAATAATAAAACCAAATAACACTAAAAAATAAATAAATAAAAAAGAAATAAATTAAAAAGAAAAATTAAAATGAAATTAAGGAAAAAATCAAAAAAATTAACTACATAAAAAATCAAAAGAAATAAAATATACCATAATTATAAAAGAAAAATAAATTATAATAAATAATTAAGTACAGCAAAATTTCAAAAAGTAATATTTAATAACAAATTGGATTATAATAAATAAATAAAAAAGAAATAAATTAACTGAAGTAGAAAATAGTAATAATAAACCCAAATAAAATTAAAAAATAAATTAATAAACTGAACAAAAAAAGAAATAATAATAATTAAAAAAAAATATAAATACTTCAAACAAAGTAATCTAACATAAAATTAAATAGAATTGAATAAAACAAAGCAAATAAAATAAAATTTTATGAAAAGATGCGCTGACTTACAGAAGCTTTTAAGAGCGAAGCAAACTCTTATAGGACCCAGAGAGGTGATTTAGTGACGGGAATACTTAACCAGTCTGATAAATTGTTGTTAAAATGGAACACCAGAAGATGCAAACCTGATTGACGAAACGATACCGATGAAACAGATTTCATTTCATTACCGTATATGCGATTATGAAGACGCTTAAATAGCAATCCAGCTTGAAAATAAAACAAAGCGGCGGAGCCGAAGGGTTGCCGCCAAAGCTGACGTAGAACTAAAAAGAGGCACGTACCAGCTTCTTTTGGAACCTAACAAACGGGGATCTCACAGTCTGCGCCAATTAGCGTGGGATAAGCCTACTCTATAGAGCCTATAAGGTCCTATCAAGCGTATTGTGTTAAATACTAAAGCCCACCGTCAATAAACTGTTTAAATCTTATCAGTGTGGCTTAAGATCTGGTAAATACAGTATTGACCAGATATTCATCATGCGCCAAATTTCGGAATAGACCGGTAAAAAGGGGATCGACATGCATCACCTATTTGTCAATTCTAAAGCAATTTTCGACAGCATGAAAAGATTTGTCTCTTTGCCGAATTTGGTGTTCCCGCAGAACTTATACAGCTATGTAAACTTAAGCTAAGTAACATCAAAGGCTCCATCAGGATCGGGAAGACCTTCTCCGAGTTCGTTAGCAAGCGAGATTGTGACTTCTTTCATTTATTCCTAAATTTATTGCTTGGGAAAGTATGACGAGCCGCAGAGCTGCCTGAATAGAGTGGGTACTATCTTCTGTAAGACCGTATAGCTGTTGATGAATTCTGCTTTCTCCATACTGGATTTTCTGCAGACTGAATAAGAAAGTGAAGTGTATGGTGCTGGTAGTGAACGAGGGCAAGACGAAATATCTTCCGTCATCAAACAAACAATCATTGCAATCGCGACTTGGCTCTCACGTCTTGTTGACCGTCGTAAATAATTTTGTCTGTCTTGTTCTTGCAACACCAACAAAAATGTCAGCCCTTAAATTCAACGCAGAATAATTCTTGTCCTCAAGTGCTAGTTTGAACTGTTGTCGAACAAAGACTAAACTCTACAAGTCTCTCAACATTCCCGTCCTGCTATATGGTGCGCAGGCATGGACGATTAGAATATGTGATAAATGGGCGTAAGGAGTTTTCGAGAGACAGTGAATACCGCAGCTGATGGTACCAAAAGCTGTATGATACATTTGTCGTGCAGCGAATCAAGAAACATCGGCTACGCTGGCTAGAACACTCCAGCTTGATGTAGCACCTGTCGGTGGAAGTAGAGGCTGTAGAAGACATCCACTCCGTTGGAGAAATATAGATAGAGAAAGACCTAGCCTTACGTGATATTTCCAATTGGTACCTAACTGCGACTGGAAGGAAATCACAACCAAACTGAGAAAAACGAACTGTCTTTTAACTAATATTTTCATTGTGTGAGTGTTTGCTTACTCCAATTTCGGAAGACAACAACTTCAACACAATTCTAGAAACTTAAAACAATAGATACTACATTCACTGATTAGAAAGCGTTCTACGAACAAAAGGTATTTGAATAAAACAAACAAATACAATGCTTACATAAACAACAAAAAGTGAATAATATTCTCATAAACATATATATAGCCGTACATATACATATATACATACATATATACATATATATAGCCACACAACTGTTACAGCAGAAAGGAATGAAACATCTGTATAGCAAAGCGCCAGTTGAAGGCAGCAAACGCGGTAGCGAGGCGATAAAATTGCAAGACACTCGTAATATTTGTAGTTTTATGAACGCACAAGTGACTCGTGTCGTGCCAAATACAATTACATTGTCATTCATACCATTGCAGCAGTGGCAGCACAATCTCAACATTCTCATTGTTTAATGTCAATGAGTAGGTATGAAAAGAAAAGAAATAAGTGAAAAGGAAAATAAAGAAAAAAGAACACTTTCAATGGAGCAAACAACCACCAGCAGAAAAGTCCATGAAGAGCGATAAAAGTGCTGCCGCTGTCAATGAGAGTAGAAAACTATTTTTCCTATACACAAATTGGTATGTATGAAACTACGTATGTATTTTTTATGTATATGTTAGTGATTTTAGATTTCGTATGACTCATATCTGCGGCAAAGGAATCCCTTCAAGGCGCGCTCCCTTTTCTCCACAAAAAAAAACAATTTAAGTCGAAAATACATATATTCTTGAAAAGTAAAAAATGCTGGTAAAAAGTATATAACTAAAAAAAATATGAAAAATATTAAATTACTTGTTTTCCCCTTTTTTGTTTCAATAAATTCCTTCCTTTTAAGGTTAATGAAGATTGAATTCGGTCTTATCTTTTCAAATAAATTTTAGTGGGTTACGTATACGCAGTGGCGTGGCTAATTTTCATGTTATATATATTTAAAAAAGAATATTTGATTGTATCAAAGAAGGAGTCTTAGAACAATAACTAACATAGAATAAAAAAAAAATTAAGGAATTTAAGAATTAAATAAAACAAAAAAATGAAACTAACTAAAATATAATGTTATAAATTCAAATATAAAAAATAAATTAAATAAAACTGAACAAAACAAAACAAAAAACAAAAATAAATCAAAAAAAAATTAATCAGATTTCAATAAAATTTTACACAGCTAAAATTCAAAAAAAAAAGTAATTTAAAAAAAGGATTAAACAAAATATTTTCCAATATAATAAAATAAAATGAAATAATAAATTATACAAATAAACAAAACTGAATAAAATATAAAAAAATAAAAAATAAAGACAAATAAAAATAAATAGCATTGATTAGATTAAAAAAAAATTTTGAATAGCTAAACTTAAAACAAAAAAATGAATTAAACAAAATAAAATCAAATATAAAAAACAAATAATAAAAAAAAAATAAATGGAATAAAATTTAATAAAATATAAAAACACAATAAAATAGTCTATAAAAAAACTACAATAAAAATATAATAATTATAAAACAATATTAAAGAGAGTCAAGTAAGCTAAAATAAAATAAATCAAAACGGAAAAAATATTTATATCTATATATAATTAGTGCTTTGTAACCGCAGTTTACACTAAACCGCCTCCGAACGGCTGATGGGTTTTTTCCGAGGAGTCTTTATTTCATGTCAGAAATACACTCGGAGAGGCTTCAGAGGGTATTTTTATATTCAAATTAATTAAAACAAAATAAAATATATTAATAAAATATTTAAAAAAAAATTAAGCATAATTTATTTGAATAAGAAAAATTAGTTTAATTAAGGCAAAATAAATTCATAAAATAATTAGAATATTAACAAATAAATAATAAAGTATAAGAAAAAAATATAAAATTATACATAAAGAGTATAAAATGATTTTAAATAAATTAAATTTAATAAATAAAAAAAATATTTAAAAAAGTAAAATTACTTGAAATTAAATAATAAAATGATAAATGTATATAATAAAATAAAATAAAATTAAAGTTAAATAAAGCAAAATTAATATAACTTAATTAAATAAAGTAAAATAAAATAAGCTAAAATAAATAAAATAATTAGAAAAAAAATTAAAATGAAACAGAATTAAATTAAATAAAAATTAAAATTAAGTTAAATATAGTTTAACAAATATTTTATATATAATATGAAAATAATTTAAATAAATTAAAATAAGATAAAACAAAAGAAACAACGCCAAATAAAATAAAATACAATAAAATAATGAAATAAAATTTATATATAATAAAATAAAATTCAATTAAACAAAAGCAAAATTAATAAAAAGTTAAGTAAACGAAAAAACATCATTTCAAACTGAAGAAAAAAGTGGATCTTTTACAGCCAATCAAAGCAAAAATGGCAGTGAACCGGCACAATTAACATGCAAGCCAGCATTGACGGCCAGGAAAGGTTTGTTGAGTTTTTGTGGGGATTGAAAAGGAATCATCCACTATGAGCTGCTCCCCTACGGCCAAATTATTGACGTCTGAAGGAAGCAGCCGCCTAGAAGCACGCAGCTTTGACCAATAGGAGGGGAATTGTGTTTCATTAGGGCAACGGTAGGCCAATAGTAACTCGCCAGAAGCTCCGAGAGCGTGGTTGGAAGGTATCATGCATCAGCATGTGGTGAATAACTTTGCTACTGAAGAATTGGTCGCAAGAGAAGCCTGCGAAAATCAATTGTTCTGGGTTTTTTTCCAATAGGGACAACTATGGCAAATAAAGCCTTAAATGCAAAATAATAAATTAAAAAATAGAAAGAAAACTGTAATGAAATGAAATAAAAAAAATAAAATAAAGTAAAAGAACAAAACAAAATAAAATGGAAATCGAGCAAAAAACAAGTTTTAAACAATAAAAATAATAAAAATTTAAAAGGAAATAACTTAAAAAAAGAGTAAAGAATTAAGACTCGCAAAATTAATAAAAAATTAAGGAAATTATTTTTTTAAGCAATCTAAAAATAGAAAATTAGCATAAATAAAAAATTCTATCTAAATTCTTCATAATCCTCAGACACATATTGTATTTTACATTTATATTTTATTTTATTTTATTTTTAATAATTTATACAATATATGTATAGACATTTCTTTCATTTATTATTTAAATTTTTTTGTTTTGATATTTTAAGCATGTAAATTTACCTTAAAAACTTTTTTCTCCCCCTTTACTGTTTCCAAAAACAGTTCGCAAAATTCAGTTACTCGTACGGTGTTGTATCAACATTGGCAAATACATATTTTATTTTGCACTTTTATCGTTTAAATAAAATTTATTTAATTTTTCTTCTTTTTTGTTGTGGTTTTTTTAGTTCGAAATTTTTGTGTTTTGTTCGTAGTAGTTTAAACAGTTGCTAAAAACAGACGTGCCTTGTACAAACTAAAACTTATGCACTTGACAGATTTTTCTTGCTAAAAAAATTAAGATTTTTCATATAAAAATATTATAAGGATTTATTTATATTACGACAACAAATATAAGTAATATATGAAATATGCGTGGCATAAATTTTATGGAAAAAATATTTTGCACATTTCACACACAAACACATGGAAAACTGTAAATTTAACACTTTTTTAATTGAAAACTTTTTTAAAGTACAATATTTTGCATATGTATATTTTATGTATTTCATATTTGTAATCACTTCAATTAAATTTCATATTTTTTAAGTTAAAATATTTATTTTCAGATTTATTAATTTTCTTAGTTTAATTTAAATTGTTTTCAAACATTAACTATCACTTTTTTTAGAACTCGTTATATATTTTTTTCTTAAATTTGTTTTTTTTTTAATTTTTTATATATTTTTAATTTTAAATGTAGACTTAATTTTTTTAAAAATTCATGGCACTTTTTCATTAGCTCGTTAGACCTTTATTTTTAATTTTTTTTGAATTCTTTTTTACTTTTTGTTAAATTAAATTTTCTACATTTCAAAGTCTTTTCAGATATATCACATTTTTGCTAAGCCAATATTTTTATTAAATATTTTGTATCACATTTTATTAACTCGTTATAATTTTTTCGAACAAATTTTCTTAAATTTTTTGAATATTTTCTTCAAATTTTTTGAAATATTCGTTATTAAAATTTTTTTTATATTTTTCCATAATTATTATTTTTAACCATTTATTTTTTTAGGTATTCCATTTTATCTTTACTGAAATTTTTTTCAATTATTTATCAAATTTTCTTAAATTTGTATATATCTTTTTAAAATTTTTTTTTTTAATTTTTTTTTTTTAAATTTTTTTTTTAATTTTTTTTTTTAATTTTTTTTTTTATTTTTTTTTTTAATTTTTTTTTTTAATTTTTTTTTTAATTTTTTTTTTAATTTTTTTGGAAATTTTTCTCAGTTTTGTTTTTAATATTTTTATTATTTATAAAATTGAAATTATATTTTTCCTCCTCACTATGCGTCAAATGCATGCACTGACCGTAAGTCCGTAGCCGTTATAGCGATTTGTCACTAGAAAAACTCTCACAAACACAACCGATGCAAGAAGTATTCGTCCTTACGTGCTTCTTCGAGTGCTGCCGTAAAACACTTCGTTTGGGAGACTCAATAATAATAGAAAAAAAGTACAAATCAAAAACTAGTAAATTAAAAAGTTGAGAGCAAATGAAAATATAGACCTAAGGAGTGACAAAAAGAGAGAGAAAGTGTTAGAGAGAGAGTGGGAGAAAGAGCGGGAAAATGAGATTGTAAATAAAGACAGAGAGAACAAATATATAATATTTTAATTAAGACGAGCGAGAGTAGGAGAAAAAAAAGAAAAAATATACAAATGAGCAAACGAATTTAGGGTGAGCAATTTAAGGGAGAAAAAGAGTTGACACTAATAAAATAAATGAAAGAGATGCCTAGACAAAGTGTGACAGAGCAGCAGCGCATAGATTTGCTGTTAGAGCGAGCACACAGTTTTGCTGTTAGAGCGAGCCACACATTATGCATATACAACAGTAAAAACACTTGTTCAATACAAAATCACTCGCAGCATATATATTTTTATTTATATGTATATATTTTTTTTTTTAATTTTTCAGTGAAATGCGCAAAATATTTTTTTTTTTTTTAATTTTTATATATATATATTTTTTTTTTTTTGTGAAAATTCTTTAGTTTTAAATATTGTTTTTAAATTAGTATTTTAGCAAATTTCAAATAACTGTTTTTTTAGAGGTTATGTTTTTTAATTTAAACTATGTTGCTTGACACTTTTGTAAATATGTGAGCGCATGCACATTTCGATGGAGCAGATGAGCGACGGAAAAAATTGGAATTGGAAAATAATAATAATAAAATTACAAATATCAATAACAAAATATATAAATAAAAATATAAAAAGACAATATAATTATAAAAAAAAGAAATATGTTTACCAATCAATAACCTTGTTAAATATATCTTTAGTCATTTAATCATTTCGGTGTAGAGCCGAAGTTGAGTACCCAACTCATAGAGGACACAGAATCGAAGCAGCAAAATTTATTTTTCAACAAAAAATGTGTAGTTTTTGAAAAAAAAGTACTCTAAAAACAGTTTTTTTTTTTATATTCACTAGCTAGCTTTGTTAAACATTTATATATTATATTTTTAGCCAACAAAAATGTCCTTGAATCTTAACCCACCACCCCTTGTGGTCCATGGCAAGCATACTCATCAAGGACTAAAAAATTGAAGTCTGTGTCACTTGTTTTTTCTACAAGGTTCCACCATAAACTAGTTCAAAACTACACCCACTAATCACAATAACAATGAAAACTGTAAAATAAATAACAACTTGCACCAAATCATAGCATACTTTAAGGCGCAGCTATTGAAGTGACATCGATTTTGTAGAAAAACATGTAAAATATTATAATATTTTGAAATTTCCAATAAAACAACGAAAAGACTATAAAGACTATTGTATGGAAATTTATATTTTCCTTCACTTACTTGAGTGTAAATATATTTATATTGGTATGTGTTTGTCGAAGATTTACGTTGTTTGCATTGTCATGACCTTTAACAATAAATTTTCACGTTGGAGTTTACATATACATACGAGTGTGTATATATATGTTATGTTAATGCCGAGCCAAAAAAAGAAGAGAGGGAGTTTTGAGAAAAGCGCTCATGAGCTGATGCCTAAATGTAGGCAATGAGATTTTAACTCAATTTCATTTGAGTGCAGCTAACAAGAGGTGTTTTAAGTAGAATATGTGGGTGAGTTTAAAAAGAGTAAATTAAATTTTTTTTTATACAAATTACATACAAAATCGCCTCAAAATATGCCTTACGTTTCTTACAGACACCAACTAGTAGCATATACATATGTTAATTTTTTGCCTGGGAAGCCTCAAATTATGCTATTAGCTTACGAAGCAGAGCTAACTGGCACGAAGATAAATAAATCGAGAAACATGAAAAGAAACATTTTAAAAAAAATTCAAAGAACACCCATAAATATAGAAAAATCTACATTTTATATTTTAAAAGCCAGTATATATAATACATGCTTGCAAGTACCCAAAACTTGTTGGTTAGCTTATATTGAGCGAATATCTCATCTTATGTGCCTAAAAGTATGCTTTATGCGTCCTTATGTGGTTTAAACGCATTAAAGTATGCACGGAAAATAGTTCACACCTTGCTTTTTGTGGGTCATAAAATTTTTAAATGTTCATATGAATAAAAAAAAAGGTCTAAACAATTTCAAAAGCACCTAATTGTATGCTAGAAATGTGGGAACTTTATACTCGAAATCTATAGTACTTGCATGCTAAAACATAAATTATTTTCATGCATAAACATATATGCATATTTTGTTATGTTAGGTTCTCCAAAGCGCCTATAAGTATGCTATGAATTTTTCTGATATATATATTTACACGTCCTGCAGTTTATACGATTCAATAATATAATTTCTTTTTAAACAAATAATTATATTTTTTGCATTTTATACTAACTTTTCAAAGTAAATAAAAAATAAAATAAAATTTAAGAAAAATAATAAAAACAATTAAAAAAGAAAATAAACTAATAACAAATTTCAAAAAAATCTTAAATAATGTACATAGTATGCATATGAAAATTTTTTCGATTCGTAAAATGATGAGTAATTTTCGAAAATACAAATTTTGTCTACTTCATTTTTTCTTCTAATTTTTTTACCAATTGCAAAACTGAAGACAACAAGTATTATACGTAAAAAACTCAATGGAAAATTAATTTTGCGCAGGTCATTTGCAGGCGATTTGAAACTTCTCAGTATTTATTTCTTTTTTTTTTTTTAACTTTATATACATATATATTTTTTTGGATTTTTTTAAATTTTTTCTCTTGAGCTGCGCATTATTCACTAGTGTTATTGTTGTTGTTGCTGTTGCTGTTGCTGCACATTATCGAAATGTAATATTTCCAAAAGTGATTCCTTCGTCGCTGTCGCCGTCAATATGAGGAATACCAAAATTGATGTTAGAAATAGCGAGAATAATAGTAAATAACCAAAGGCGCACATTGAAGTATTGCAGAAGGAGCAAAGTAATTATTTTGTGTGCAAGACATGGCACACACACACATACACGTATACACAATTGCCTGACAAAGTTGCACCAATGAATAAAAAAAAAAAAAACAAAAAAAAAATTAATTACACAGTCAGCCTTTGAAGCACTCAACCAGTCATCAAGCAGTCCAACCAGCCATCAAAGGCCAAACGCACACAGTATAGATTGATGAAAATTTTTCAGCTGTTGGTATAACAGATTTGTGAAAATATGTAGAAAAACACTTTTCTGTGCGAACAAATACACACACACACACTTTGTCACTGACTTTTTATATATTTATAATATCAATGATATTTTATATAAAATTTTCACACTTTTCTTATATACAATTTTACTTTTCTTTAATATTCTTTATAATCTTTTTACTTTCTAGTTGAATTTCAATTGGTTTTCTGTACAAAATCAATAGCAACGACCACTTGATTCAACGCGTCTACGCGTTCAACGTAACTAAACCAACCTGACACGAGCTGCGAGCAACCGAGTACTACGAAGCTTAAGGGTAAGCCAGACGTTAGTAACCTGAAACTAGCTAAACGTATGAGTCAAGTAGCAGCAACGGCGACGATGACTATGACGAAGAGAAGGGCAAGAACAACAAAGACGACGACGACGACGACGACGACCTGGGGTGCGATGACGCTCACGTGGGGGTGGTGGTGGTGTTGGTGCTGAGAGCATACGAAGGCAACAGGAAGAAACAGTGGTAAATATTGATTAAAAAAATTTTAAATTAAATGAAATAAATATAAGGGATCAACAAAAAAAAAACAAATTAAAAAATTAATTTAATTAAATAAAATAAAACATAAAATAAAGGAAAAAAATATTAAAAATAGAATTAATAAATAAAAAGATAAAAAAAAAAAAACAAATTAAAAAATTTATTAAATTAAATTAAATGAAAATTAAAATGAGGTAAAAAAAATAAACTAATAATAGAATTAATAAATAAAAAAGATAAAAAAAAAAACAAATTAAAAAATTAATTAAATTAAATAAAATGAAAATTAAAATGAAGTAAAAAAATAAACTAAAAATAGAATTAATAAATAAAAAAAATAGAAAAAAAAAAACAAATTAAAAAATTAATTAAATTGAATAAAATAAAATATCAAATACAGGAAAAAAATAAATAAAAATAGATTTATTAAATAATATACTTTAAATAAAACAAATAAAAAAAACAAATTAAGAAAATAATTATATTGAATAATATAAAAAACAAAATAAAGTAAAAAAATAAATAAATTAAAAATAGAATGAATAAAATACCCTAAATATAAAAGATAAAAAAAAAAAACAAATTAAAAAATTTATTAAATTAAATTAAATGAAAATTAGAATGAAGTAAAAAAATAAACTAAAAATAGAATTAATAAATTAAAAATAGAATGAATAAAATACCTTCAATAAAAAAATAAGAAAAAAACGAATTAAAAAATTAATTAAATTGTATATAAGAAAATATAAAATAAAGGAAAAAAGTAATAGAAATAGAATTAATAAATAATATAAATTAAATAAAGCAGATAAAAAACAAATTAAAAAATTAATTATATTGAATAAAATAAAAAATATAATATAAAGTAAAAAAAATGATTAAAAATAAAATTAATAAATAAAATACCTTAAATAAAGAAAATAAAATAATGTACAATTAAATAAAATTTAATCTAATTTAATAAAGTACATAAAATGCATTAATTAAGAATTAATTATAAAATTATATTAAAACAAATCAAATTAAATAGGAGAAAATAAAAATTACATTATATACAAAAACAAAACTAAACTAAGTTATAAATAAAAATAAAACAAAGTAAATCATTATTAAAAAAATAGGATAATATAAATTTTCCTTAAAAAAAAAGTAATACAATATAGATTAAATTACATAGAAAAAATAAAAACAAAAAAAAAAAGAAAAATAAAATAAAGAAAATGAATTAAGTACAGCAAAATAGTTTAGAGAAGTAATTAAAATAAAATGCATAAAGCTAATGTTAAATAATTTAAAACAATATAAATTAAAACGAAATAAAATAAAACACAATAATAAAAATAAAATTACAATAAAATGAAATGAAATAATATATAAATTTGTGTTTTTTTTTTATTTAAAAGTTTCACGAAAATATAACAAACAGTTTCGAGTTTACTTTTTTTGGAAATATTCACTCCATTCACTGCCACTGTGTCTCCTGCTCTATACCGCAATAAATCAAAAACCCAAAAACCCTTCGACTGGCGCATGCGCCCTTGGGGAATTAAGCACAAAGCTTACGCTCTTCTAATAAGTATCGCATTACCTACCTACCTACCTAGCTACTTACTGTCTCCGAGAGAGTGTGGGAGCAGTGAATATGTTGGTGAATATGTTAGCTTAAATTATGCAAAAGTAGTTATGTAGAAAAAATCTCAATTTAAAGAAGTCCGAACAAAAAAGGTTATGAAGTTACTGAAAATATGGAATGAAATGGAATTTTTTTTTTAATTTAAATAAAATACAAAATAAAGATATTATTAAATTTTGGAACAGATTAATTTCTTATTATATTCCCAAAAGTTATATTTACGTAAAATAAATAGTGTTTAAAATTGAATTAAAAAAAAAATTAATTGAAATTGAATTTAAAAAAATTATTTATTGTATAAAAATATTATATTATTTTATGCGTAATATAAGTAATAAATATTATTTCATTTATTTTTAATATTTATATAAAAAAAATTTGTATTACATTAATTCTTTCATTTTTATATTATTTTTATTTTCAAACTATTTATAAAAGTAATTACATATTTACATAATTTGAGATACTCCAATTTATATATATTATATATAAATATTTTTTTTTAATTTTATTTTTAATTTATTATTTCACATTCTATAATTACTTAATCTTTTTAAAAATTTTAAATATATTTTAAATTAAATTTGTTATAAATTTTTAATTTTTATTAAATTAATTTAAAAATGTTAATTAAATTAGAAATAAGTAATAAAATAAATTTAAATTAACATTTAATAAAATTGAATTTAAAAATATTTTTTTAATATTTCTAAAAATTATATTTGCCTAATATAAATATTTTTGACCACTTTATTTATGACCATGGAACGAGTTTTTTCCTGACTATGATGTTGTTCGAATAGCGATTGCCCGCTTAAAGAACAATAAAGCGGCTGGAACTGACGACCTACCAGCAGAGCTTTTCTAACATGGCGGTGAAGAGCTGACAAGGTGCATGATCTGCCCAATCCATTAAAATAGGGACCCCACAGCCAACGCCAACAAACTGATTGGACTTTATCAGTGTGGCTTTAGACCTAGTAAACCAACCACAGACTAGATATTTACCTTGCGCCAAATCTTGGAAAAGGCCCATGGGAAGAGTATCGACACACACCACCTCTTCGTCAATTTTAATGCCGAAATCGATAGCACGATAAGGAGCTGCTTATACGACTATGTAAACTGCCCTAAAAGTTCCTTGAGGATCGGGACGGACCTATCCGAGTCGTTCGATACCAAACAATGCAGACAGGGCATTTTTTTATGATGTTGGAGAAGATAATAATAGCTAAAGAACTGTATAGAGAAGGTGCAATTCTCTATGAGGGTGTCCAGCTGCTGGCGTACGCCTGTGATATTGACGATATTGGCTTCAACAACCTCGCCGTGAATACTATTTTCTTCAGACTTCATAGCGAAGCTAAGTGAATGAGAGCAAGACGAAATATCTGCTCACATTAATTAAACAGTCATCGCATTAGCGACTTGGCTCTCCCGTCATCGCTGACAGATAACTTTATCTATCTTGGAACCAGTATTAACACCGACAACAATGGCAGCCTGGTAATCCAACGCAGAATCACTCATGCCCTCCAATTCGTTCCCGCTCTGCTATATGGTGCGAAGCCATGGACGATGACAAAAGCTGATTAGTTGGCATTAGGAGTTTTCGAAATAAATGTTTTGCCTAAGAGATTCTCTAGGTGTTGCGAACGGCGAATGCCGCAGTCGATGGAATGATGAGCTGTATGAGATATAAGGTGACTTTGGCATAGTTCACCGAATCAAGCTGAGGTCATGTGGTACGCACGGATGCCAATACTCCAGCTTTGAAAGTTGTCGATGCAGTACCGGCCGGTAGAAGCAGAGAAAGGGGAAGACCTCCACTGAGCTGAAAAGACCAGATAGAGAAGGACAGGGATGCACTTGGTATTTCCGATTGGCGTCAAACAGCGAAAAGGTAAAATAAATGGCGAAATGTAAGAAATTCGGCTATAATCGCATAAGCGGTGTCTACGCCAGTAAAGAAGAAGAAGAATATTAATTAATTTATATATTTTTTATATTTATTTTCTGTATTTCTTTTAATTTTTAACATTTTCCGTTTTTTTTATTTTTATTTTTATTATTTAAAATACTTAAAAAAATAACTGAAATCAAATGATAAATATCGTTTTTATTTATTTTTTTCTTAATTTTATTATTAATTAATTTATTTTATAATTTATTTCTAATTTGATGCTTATTTTTAAATTATTGATTATTTTTTAAATATTTTAATTATATAATAAAATTTATTATATTTAAAAAAATATGTATTGTTTATTATTGTTTTATTTTCACTTATGAATATTGGAAAATATATTTAAAATATTTTATTAAATTTTTTTTTTGTACTTCAATATAATTTTTTTTTCATCGCCATTCAGTTTACTTCATATGCCTTTTGATATACCCCATACATTCCCCCCTTACATAGCTGAAATGTAACTTAATATAGTTTGGCAGCCTAACATTAAAAACGTTTATAACAAAAAATAAAAACAATTTAATAAATTTATTTAATAACAACATTAAAATTCAATAGTTTTTGGCAGCTGTTTGTGGTCGCTGTCAGCAACTGCTACTGTGACGACCATTAAAAAGCCCCTTAATGTTGCTGCCAAAGGCAATAATTTTCACTCAAACACACACACGCGCACACACACGCACACACACACATACACACACACTCTTACGCGCAGTACAGGCTTAACGGTCCGTTTGAAAATATCAGCAAACTCTTCGCTGTCATCATCGCATATCGTCATCTCGCACTCGTCATCAGCAACATCGCTGTTGACAGTAATAAAATCAACAAAACAACTACAACAACAACAATGAAAATAAAAAATAATAATAATATTTTACATAGAAATATGTGTAT